GGTGGCTGTCTATTAGCTGAAGGTGTGGTTTGTTGGGCGGGGTGGCGTTTTGTGGGGGGGGGGGGGACCAGGGGGAACTGCTGTCCAAATGGCGAAAAGACACATGGGACCGACCCTGACAGAGGCCCTAGATTAGAAGCTAAAATGAGTTAAGACAAGACAGCCATTTGCATATTAGGTGGTAAGTTTGCAAAGTAAGTTGGAGGTACATCCTCCTTAGCATTATCAATTAGCATTAGCGCTGGGAGCGTGGAAATGCTAGTCCACCTGCAAGTATGCTGATTTGCACATCGCTCAATGTCTGTAGCTGAGGAGTGTATGAGCGCTGTCGTGGTTTTGGGTATCAAAGCGGTCCATAAGCCTTCTTTTGTATGTGTGCAGTATCTTGTCCAGCTCCATTTTGACTTAATGAAGGGTTGAATCTTCAGCTTTGAAGAGGGTGGATAGCAGCATATTAAGAAAGGAAGGTAAAAGCACAGTGGCTGCTAAGTGTAGCTACTGTACCTGGTATAGTCTGTCTTGCAGATGATGGATGGCAGGTGGGAGCCTTATGGTGCAGCCGCAGCTCGGGCTTAATCATCAGCATTAATCGTTTGCCAGCCCCCCCGTTCTTTCTTTGAGGGTCATGATTCACTGCTGTGGGGATGTAGTGACCCCTGGCCCCCCAAGGTGGGGATCCCCAGCAAGTTGCCCACAAAGTAGCTTACATCTTTTGAACGTGAAACAGGCTAAACATAGCGGTAGCAGCGGCGATAGTGGCTGGTCAGTCACTGTTAGATATCAACACCGGGCTACTTGCATTGATCACAGATAATGTTTCCAGCTCCTATTAGCCTGCATGCTTGTGATTTCTGACGTGGAAACTTCAAATACACCCATCACCTCATAATATTTCTCTGTGTTTTTACTGCGTAGCCCTTTTTGTCCCTTCCTGGCATCTTGCTGGTGTTTTGTCTGCAGTAACTCTCAGTAAACAGTGTAATGACGACCGGCTTTTTGTCTCTCTTTCAGAGGACATTCTCCAAGGGTTGCTTGAATATGAGGTTGTTCACCCCACAAGAGTGGACCTGGCAGGCCGCTTTGTGTCGAATTTTGTGTCTCACCGCGTGAGCCGGCTTCGGCGGCGGGACACCTCCTGGACCGTTGGGGCTCCAGAGCAGGTCTTCTACCATCTGCAGTATGGGGACCAAGACCTGAATCTCAACTTAACCCTCAACCCCTACCTGCTGGCTCCTGGCTTCCTCACAGAGAGGAGGTACGGTGGCCTGGAAGGGACCAAAATCCACACTCGCAGCCACTCCCTCTGCTACTTCATTGGGGAGGCGTGGGGTGCCTCCTCGGGGAAGGGCCATGCGGCCATCAGCACGTGTGATGGGCTGGTGAGTGCTCCGCCTCTACGGCCGGCTGGACGGCGCGTGGCACAGGGTCACATGCAAACCTCACAAAGCGTGCGTCTGTGTGTTTGTATGATTTTCTCATGTGTGTGGTAGGGATGTCAAAGAAAAACTTCATACGGCTTTTATAAATGAACCCGAAATAAAGATTCCTTTAAGTGTGTTACATATATTTGGAGGAATCTTAATTTCTGTTTGTTTTCATTTTTTTTTTGTTTTGTTTAAACATACCAGTTGAGTACTCTGTGAATGTAACTCTTAATATGTCGGTCTGGATTTGTACTGTCTGAACCTGAACTTTGCACCTTTGTGTATGTACAAATCTGTCCTCTTAAACATAAGTACCATTCATTTATAACCTTAAAATGCACTTTATGATGCATCTTATTGTGCATGTGTGCACTATATAGATCAGCTTCTCTCTGCAAGAATATTATTGTGTCTTATTTTTTTTTAAACAGTTCCCATAAAAAGTTGTAGTTTCCTTTTGGCAGACGTGCGACAGTGTTCTGAATTGAACCCTTCAGCCATTCTTACAGTACAGAGACGCTCCCCGACAGCTTGCTAGCGAAGGTCTCCTTCACCTGCTCACGGCTTCTCTCTTGGATTCCTGGAGAATAGATGTCGGCTCGTGAAGCAGTGCTGCTACCGCTGCTATGGCCCCCGTCGTGGCTCTCGTGTGCATATCCCATAATCCTTTGGACTTGTCAGCATGCCGCTTTCACCGTTGTGTTTTAACTGCAGTGCCGGAAGCAATCAGGCTAAAGAATGCCGATCATTAATGAATTTAAAGAGGGATAAAACAGGAGTAATTCATTAATGGTTATCCTCTAAGCCAGCTCACTAGATGACAGTGCTGAGCAGCTGCACTCGGAGCTCCTTGAGCGTGTGGAAACCGGCAAGTAATTCCTGAACAATTAAACTTGAAACTTATATGTTTTTCCACTTTAGAATTTATGAAACTCCTGGCAATGGAATTAAGATATTGCTCCAGAGTTGCCACAGACAACCTAATTGTCACAGTTCCAATAATGAACGAAAGTTAATTAGTTATTGTTGCAGGCTGTTTCGCAAAATTGCCTCTGTATTGGGTGTGTTCATATCGGCCAGAATAAGCACAGCCTCTGACAGGGTGATGTGTTTCCAAGACCTGGGAATGTGCATCAGAAATTCCCGAGACCTGGAGTCACACTCTGCACTAGCGGGGCGGTGTGATCATTGTGATGCAGACCCCAGTTTGACAGCAGACAGGGAGGCCCAGCATGACCCCTCCTGCTAACGGCAGGGTGTGAAGTGTCTGGGCCGCTGTGAAGTAGAACTTGGATGATCTTGGAGTTCTGACAACAATAAGCACCCATGTGAGGATCTGGATCTGGAGGGAAGGGGCTCTTTTTATAATCCAATAGTCAACTCATAAGATTTATTCAGTTTTTTTGTGGTGAAATATTTGGAATTTTGGATAGAACACACCTTATATTTTAGTGGAACAAAACCTTTGCAAGCTGTGTTGGAGAAGATGGACTGGCTTCCCTTTGCTGTGGAGTTACTGGCCTTTTGCCCTCTCTACAGACGGGTCTGTTCAAGTTGTCTGGGGAGGAGTTTTTCATCAGGCCTCTGGAGCAGGCACGCTGGGGGGGGCTTCCCCAGCCTCATGTGGTCTACAAACGGCACGCTGCCCAGCCGTGGAAGGTGTCGGCCCACCCTCTGCCCTCGGGAGGCCAGGTCAATGGAACATGTGGCCTAAAAGGTATGTGTGTAAGCCTGTGATGGCAGTCTGACAGGTTGGTGGAGGACAAAGCTGTAAAGCCTTCTGATTGGTTCTATAACCAGTGGAAACCGAGCTGGCTGGTTGGTGAATATGTAGCAAAATATGAGTTTCTCAGCTGGTTTAGAGTTTAACTGAAATGCTACTAAACTTCAGAATTTTAAAAACATGCAGTTTTAAATTCTGAAAAACATACCGCCTCTCCCCCTTTTCAACAAAACAATGCAATGTCAGCGATTTATAATGAATATATTTAGGACCAGTGCGGCACGGTGGTGCAGTGGTTAGGAGTGTGGCATGATGAAGCAGTGGTTAACACTGTTGTCTCACATTTCTGGGACAAGGGTTCAAGTCTGTGCCAAGATTCCATGTCTGTGGAGTTTGCATGATCCCCCGTGTCATCTTTGGGTTTCCTCTGGGTACTCCAGTTTCCCCCCCACAGTCCAAAAACATGCTGAGGCAACCAAAATAGCCTGTGTGTAAGTGGTGTGTAAGTGGTGTGCCCTGCGATGGGTTGGCACCCCATTCTGGGTTGTTCCCTGCCTGGTGCCCACAGGCTCCGGACCCCTCACGACCCTGAATAGCACAAGCTATTTCAGAAAATGGGTTGATGGATGTTTAGGACCATCTCCAATATTAGCTAAAACAAGCTGAGTGACAGCTTTGCTGCTAAGATGATAACAGATTAGAACTACAACGGATACTTGTTATTCAGCTCTGTAATCCTAGTTATTTTCATATTGAAGAGAAAAAGCTATTTTAGATTAATACAGTGGTACCTTGGAACACAAATTTAATTTGTTCCAGAAGGCTGGCTGAGTTGCAATTTCCCCGTTAGAAATAATGTAAGTGAAGCCGTTTCTATTTGCCTATTTAAACTCATCTACCTACCTAACTAACGATAAAAAGCATTATGGGGACCAGCATCCCAGTAGGTCCCTTTGTCTTTGTTTCAGCCCATCAGTGATGCCTCTTGATCTGTACAAGTTTTAGCAGGTCTGTTTTGTTTTGTTGTGTTTTTCTCGACCAACCCGTTCGAAGTCTGAATTGGTAGAGTTGAACCGATTAGCAGGAACGGTCAAGTCCCCGAGATTTCGGTAGAGGTCCAAGTCGAAAAAAATTCGACAGACCCCTTCGATGTCCGAATTGGTGGAGCTGAGAGGCGTTCGAGTTCCAAGGTTCCACTGTAACAGGTTGCAAAACCTCATTTCAACACACACACAAATATTAACACAAATATTCCTGTAGCAAGGAAGAAAATGCATATTTTGTTAAAATACTCCTAAAATTCATGAAATTTTTTTTGACATCTCACTTGACTGAAATTATTATTTGAACTCTTTGGTTTTTCTTCCTGCACTTCAGTTTTTCTCTCTCCATTCCCCAGGGTGTCCTCTGCAGTGTTTATACCCTTCACGGACACACATAAACATTGGGGCCTGTATCATGTTTTGTTTAGTGTGTAAATGTCTCCGGTGCCTCGTGATTGGCCGATCCTGGCCGTCCACAGATGTTGGCAGGGCCGCAGAGAGGGCGGAGCAGCGGCGCGAGCGGTGGGAGAAGCGTCAGCGGCGGCGCAAGATCCGGACACGCTCCGTCAGCAGGGAAAAATGGGTGGAGACGCTAGTGGTGGCCGACCCCAAGATGGTGGAGTACCACGGCATCCAGAACGTAGAGAGCTACGTGCTGGCCGTCATGAACATTGTGAGTGCTCAGGTTCCTTTCCGTCATGGTTCTAACATTTAGGAAATGCTGAGAGCTCTGCGATACAGACCTCCATCCCTGGTGGCACCTAGCATTGGAGTGATTTTTTTCGGCACCATGTTGTTGATGTTATCAGGAAACATCTGGAAAGGTGGAATGAAAGCTCAGAGATGTGCATGTAAAAGAAAAGACTAAGGGTCTCCCTAGTGTCTTCCCATCCGGCCTTTGCCAAGCAATCCTTTGTTTCCGCAATCACTTCTTCTTCTTTAGGACACATATTTGTCTGCAAACTTTTCTTACTCTCTTCCTCCTAACAACGGCAACTTCCTGCGAAATGTAAGATCTCGTCTTTCTGGATGAAATCCCAGTCAGCCAAACTGTCCCTCCTCAGCATTATTTCAATTTCTGCTCCAGTTTGCAATCAAAGGAAGTGGCTTCTTTAAAATCGGTTTGGTCACAGAGAGTTTTGGTCTGTCTGGGGATTGTGAGATGTAACCTTATAGCAGAGGGGTTGGTTCTCATTAACCTCTGGCCCTTGATCTGCTTGTTTTGGCTCTGTCATGGTTTATAGCTCATGAAAAGTAGAGTCTCCCTCCACCAGTACTACGGCTGACTGGAAAAACCTTGTAGAGCTGGTCTTCCTGGAAGTAAATCTATTGTCTCTGGAAGCTGGGAATGTGGATAAAACCTGTGATCACAATTCGTGCAATGCTTTTCTTCTTTCCGCCCACGAGAGAGTCATTAAATAAGAGCCATGGAGAGACTTGGGAGATGTTACAGCTAGGCTGGGGTTAATAGCCTGGTGGACTTAAGCTAACCATGAGGTCTGTTTCTGGCCACTGTGTTGTGGTGTTGTTGTTAAGTTCTGCCCCAGATGATAGCAGATAATTCAGAGACCATCAGAGATCAACTTGTTTTCCTCTGAAGAGCGATCATCTTGCACATGCAAAATTGCTGTGACTTCATCAGTTCACTCTTCCCCTCGGTCAGTTCTGAGCTCCTGTGCTGTGAAAGACTATAGCCATCATAATTATTGGGCTCGAGCATTAGCATAAAGGATCGGAGTCTTCAAGCACCGAGACCGGGGGTGTGACAGATGTGCCGTCCTAAGGTTTGCTGAGGTGGGTGTGGTTTGAAAATCAGAAAGGAGAGAACATCTGGTACAGCTTACAATCACAGTAGTAAATCCAGATGCCTTCTGTTATTGTAATAAGGCATTTAAAGCTGTATTTGATCTCTGTGTCTCAAATCAAATCAGTACCACATTTCTAAATACAAAGTCAGTCAGGACACAGAGGGGTAATGCGGACACAACAGCGGGCCTAAGTTTTTTCTTTGATGATTTTATTTATTATTGAGGGTGGATTCTCAGTATGACACACATCAGGGTTTGATGGTGCCATCTGCCTGTGTGATGGAGCTGAGCTCCCAAAAGCCCCAGTTTAATTTCCCAGGTTATGGGAAGGTTGGCCCTGTTACTGTGGCTAAAAGTGCCCAGTGACTTCAGAGGGGAGACAAATATGAAAGTCGGCAGAAAGACCTCCCGAGCATTTTAGGGTCTGATCGTAGACTGGCATGTGGTCAATAACCGCACATTCAGCAACTAGCTTCAGACGTGTGTCCGGCCTGGATGGTGCCCCGCCCCCTCCCCAGGAGAAAGGATGCTGAGCTTAAGATTCATTTCCAATAGAAGCCAGCTATTCCATGCAAATGACTAATAATGATTTCCTGGCTGGACATTAGCAGCCTGCTCTCTGCTTCTGCTGTTCTGTGGAAAACCTCTCAATGCACATGTGGCTCCCATCAAGCAGCTTCTTTCTGCTCTGGAGAGAACATGCTTTCCATGGTTTTTGCTCTTAAATGTGTTTGCTTGAACACTTTGCTTGAAGGGGCACAAATAACGTAGTAAGACACTCTTGCTTAATGCATGAATTAACCAGGATCTGTTAGTTACCTAAACTGTTAGTTACCTACTGTTCCCATGTTCATCATTAATCAATCATGTATCTCCTCCAACACATATCCCTCCTATGTGTCACACCCCCCCCNCCATGTGTCTCCCCCCCATGTCCTCCCCACTGTGTGTCTCCCCTGAAGCAGCAGCACAGGAGAGCACCTGGCCCTGCTTTGTCACGTTTATTTAATGTCCAGCACAGTGACAGAGGTGATGGCTGCCCGCTGTCTGTCTCTCAGGTGGCAGGACTGTTCAGAGATGCCAGCATCGGGAACTCGATCAACATTGTGGTGGTTCGGCTCATCCTGCTGGAGAAGGACGAGGTAAAAAAGAGGTGCTGCCTGACACAGGTCTCGTGCCGCCCCTATGAAAGGGCGTCACACCTGGCCAGGGAGTCGGTTTAATATGTGAGGCAGCAGACATTTCTCTTATGTTGAAGTGACATGTTTCCTCTTATTATTTTCATGCCAAAGTATTTTATACTAATTTGTAAGCTCATCAATTCAATAAATTATTTCAAAGTTCAGGAATATGTTTCTGTTTATCCAAGGTCTCTGAAATCATTCAACTGGTTCAGTAGTTTGTGACCTTTTTGTCTGAAAGCTTTTAGACATTCAAGGAAAGGTGTCTAGAACAAGCCAGAAAAGTGTCAGCATTCAGAATGTAAACCCTAACTCCAGAGGTTATAAACAATTAGAAAAGTAGTAGCTTGTGACCTGACAGAGTCATGAGTTTGAATCTAGAGCTGGTTTGTGGGCACAGCAGTTAGGCCTCTGTGTCTTCAGAAGGTTGCCACTTCAAATCCCAAAACCTCAACTAATAATTACAAAAGAACAATTTTATTAAATCTAAGCCTAACTTAGATTCTGAATCTAATCATTCGCTTGTATTGGCTGTAAGATGAAAAATCCAAGATGATCGACAACGCAGGGCTTCAGAACACGCCTGGGATGTTTACTTCGGATACTGCTGCCTTTCCCTGGAACCACTCTGCTGCCATTTAGAGTGGCCCAGGATGTGGGGACACATCAGCCGTGGCAGGAGGGTCCGAACTTGCATCATCTCACTGCTGGCCACTCAAGATGGGATTTATTAGCAAGTTACAGCAGCACAGCAAACGGTTTACGTCCTTTAAATTTGAGGCTTATTCTGCATTTACCTGCTTTCTGAGGTAACGCTGATGCTGAAATTAGTAATGCAGTCATTTAAATATAGAACTCCTCAGTATTATTATACCTAGCCCTGTCAATACCGATGCCTCTGTAACGTTGACTCTTTACATGGGTATATTTTTCAGCCCACTGCCAACAGAGCCTTTATTTTTCAATCTCTGTGTTGAAAGTATCTGTTGCTGAGATAGAGGAGATGCTTAACATGAACAGTTTATGTCTTAATCTGCTGAACTGTGTTTTTATAAGGCAAAGTCAGGGGTCAGAATACATCTAAAGCATTTCCGTTTTTACGAGGCAGATGCAAGAGGCTCCCTGTGACTCTAACCCGCCCCCCCCCCCCCCCCCGTCTCTGGTTGCTAGGAGGACCTGAAGATCTCTCACCACGCAGACAACAGTCTAAGTAGCTTCTGCAAGTGGCAGAAACGTCTCAACACAAGGGGGGACCAGCACCCGGTTCATCACGACGTGGCCGTCCTCCTCACTAGGTACCCCGTCCCCTTTGCTGTGCCCCCGACGCCCGCTCTGCCTGTTTACCCAGCCAAACAGCATGCTGCAGTCGTGCCGTAAGACCTCCAAGTGTCCATGTGGCTCATTTTATCTTGGTTGAAGTGAACTGAAGAGTGAGTTTGTGAGTGGGTTGTGTACTGGGATAATTGGCCTGTAAAGAGGATACAAGAAGAGTGGAACATAGCTGGGGTGATTTAGTTTCTAGTGTTATTGTTAAATCACCTTCACCGTTGCCATAATTTTGAGCAGCGCCTGGTCCGGCTGTTCGTCAGGTGGTTGTTCGTTTGTTATTGTCAAGTACTTTGATCAGTATGTGACCTTCTGAACAGCACTGTGGTGATGTAGGGGGAGCAGAGGCCTTACTCTGGTACCCTCAGCCATCTACCTGGACCTTCTCAGATAAAATATCTGGCTGTCGGGTGAAAGAACCGGCAGATAAATGTGAGAGAATAACATATGAGCGTCCAGCATATTACTCGAGGATGGGATTGTCAGTCACACGTGAAGAGCGTCCAGTTTATTATGCAGTGTATACTTATAAAATATATCCATGAACTGTCAGTTTTTTATGCAAATCAGCAGGGAGCCCAGAAAGGCGGTGTGAGTGAAGGGAATTACTGCTCGCAGCCAAAATGAATAATGCAGCTTTCATCTGCGTTTCTGACCTCTGGGCATCTCCCCAACGTGAGGGATGGAACTGGCAGATTCTCAGCTGTGTTCTGACCCTCCTCTCCCTCCCCCCCCCCAACCCCAGCACTGAAGCACGAGTGAAATTGAAATGTGATCTGAAAGACACTGTACCACAGGAAGGGGAGAGCTGTCTGGTGAAGGCGTCTTGGAGGAGCAGACGTGCACATGCCGGGCGTAAGGGGTGACTGGCAGAGGGAGCACTTGGCATTCTTCCTTCAGGCGTGGGAAAGGAGTGGCCCCACATGCTTATCTGTGGGGGGGTCTTCTCAGACGGTTGGGTGGGGGGAGGAGGAGCGGCAGGCTGCTCGGAGCGTGACGCCTTCCCGTCTGTGCGCCCCCCAGGAAGGACATCTGCGCAGCCATCAACAAGCCGTGCGAGACGCTGGGCCTGTCCCACGTATCCGGCATGTGTCAGTCTCACCGGAGCTGCAGCATCAGCGAGGACACAGGGCTGCCACTCGCCTTCACTGTAGCCCATGAACTCGGCCACAAGTGAGTCTGCCTGCTGTCCTGCCGCACCACTGCCCTGCTGCAGGGCACACGACCCCAACCCGCCAGCAGGTGGCGTAGCAGTTGGCGATACAGACCTACAGCCCAGAGGCTGCCGGTTCAAGTCCCAGGCGAGATAAATGTTGCTTTGGATTAAAGATTCAGTGAAAAACATGTGATATAAAAAAAAAGAACTTTACTTACATTTAAGTTTTACCTGTCTTTTCTATTGACAGGGCCTCTCTATATTTTGAATAATTGAGGCATTCAGTTATTACTATAAATTGCCAACCAGTTTAATATATGTACAAGGCCCTCTACTGAGTTAAAAGATTTCCTAGAATATTAAAATGATGAGACTCATACAGTTTGTATTTGTAGCAAATCAGTTTAACATGAAGCATGATTATTAGTAGTGTTTGTCCATAAGGTTTGCATTCTCTTTGGTAAAATGTGCATATGTGTCCCGCCTATATGTCCTGTGTATGTTTATTTGTGTGCAGTGTATGTGTGTCCTCCGCATATACACGTATGAATGTTCATATGCGAGTGTGTGTGTGTGCGAGTGGTTGATCCCCATTCTTAAAATCAGCTCATTTTATTTTTTTCTTTATAAATCTTGCAGAACCCCTAAGTGGTGGGAATATAGCAGAATTTCCTTTATTCGGGGATTGATTTCATTTGAGGTTCAGTGGTCAGTTCTGTGTCACGTTTCTGGGTCTGATGCACACTCCGGCCTCCTAACTGCGTTTCCTGGCTGAGCAAAGTACCTAAATTTACTGTGGGACCAAAAATAAAGTCTTAATTACCTTTTGTAAGGGGGAGCTAGCAGTGCTGAAAGGGCATTTAAGCAGCTCTTCTGTTGAAACTCAAAACACAGGCCTTGGGTGGTTCCTCCCCCGCCCCCCCACAATGCAGCTGACACGTACTCCCCCCCCAACCCCCCCCCGCTATCCGCTCAGGAGCTCCGATGTCCGTCTTTATTCTTACAGCGCCGTGGCGTATATCCCGGCTTATTTGCTTATGGTCATGCTGCGTATTTGCTCTGCTCTCCATCCCCACAATGCCTGTCCAGGAAGTTAGAACCAACAGGGAACTGAATTTGTCCTGTTTTGTTCCCCAGCCACCTGCACTCGTTACTCGTTATTTGGAGAATACGCTCTCCGAGGGGGTGGCCCATTTAAAAATAAATAAATAAAAATTCCGGAGAGAGGCCAGCAAAAGGTAGGAGTACAGTGCTGACTTATGGGGCTGTAGCCCAGTCAGACAGTGGGGTGGGGGGGGGGGGCACCTGGCAGGTGTATCCTCTCAAACCCAACAGTGCATGCAGTGACAAATTTGCAGGCTACTATTTTTTATTTTTTTTTTGTTAAACAAGTTGTGAAACACCAGACATGCGGAAAAGCATGAAAATGCTAATCCTTAACAGAGGCTTATTCACAAAGCATATTTAGGGCAGGAATGCTGGGGTTACTAACGCTTACAATCCGCAAAGCATCATCCCGGCTGTGGGGTCAGCGACTGCCGCAGAATGGAGCTCATTTATCGTTCATTATGTGAGCCTGTCACAAGGAGGGCATGTTCTGCGTGTGAGACTGGAGAGTCAGTGAAGCCCCTCCGTGTAATGAGTAGCTACGCCTGAGGAATGTCCCCTCTGCTAGTGTCCTGTCAGCACTGATCCCGGTTGGGTTAAGTTACCAAGCAACTGGGTACTTTCAGGCTCGAGGAAATCTCCAGGCCGACAGCTGACTTACAGCGAGAGAGCTTTTCTGCGGTGAAGGACCTTATTTCAGCAGCAACTGCAAGTGTTTGCGCTTTGTGTGTGGCTACTGAGTTTAATTAAACTCAAATTACAAGCTATCACTCATCTGTTGCTGTAGATGAGAAATTCTGAGGGATGAGTCCTTTGAGATGTGAATCACTGGTTTACGGCTGGGGCTTTGTTAAGCAGTTTCCAGAATTGCACCAAAGGACAGACAGCCAAGCTTGCTGGTGAACTGGAGGGGATGTTACGGAGAAGTGAGCAGACAGCCAGAAAAGATGGGGAGCACATGCGTGTCTCTGTGTGTCTCTGTGTCTGTGTGCGCATGTGTGTGTCTGTATGTCTCTCTCTGTATGTGTGTGTCTGTGTCTGTCTTTGTTTCTGTGTCTGTGTGTGTCTCGGTGTGTTTTTGTGTCTGACTATATCTCTGTGTGTCTCTGTGTCTGTCTGTCTGTATGCACATGTGTGTATCTGTCTGTGACTCTGTGTGTCTCTGTGCCTGTCTGTCTGTATGCGCATGTGTGTATCTGTCTGTGACTCTGTGTGTCTCTGTGCCTGTCTGTCTGTATGCGCATGTGTGTATCTGTCTGTGACTCTGTGCCTCTGTGTGCACATTTGCGTGCTGCTGTGCATCCTGTGCTGTCAGTTGTGCCGCCTCCCTGCAGGCCCCCTCTCACTCAGCCTTCTCTCTGGGATGTGCTCTTACGTCACAGCTTTGGGATTCAGCATGATGGCAACGGCAATGACTGTGAGCCAATCGGGAAAAGACCTTTCATCATGTCTCCACAGCTCCTGTACGGCTCCTCACCGCCAAACTGGTCTCGCTGCAGCCGCCAGTACATCACCCGCTTCCTTGAGTGAGTCTCTGCTCCCTCCTTCTTCTCCTCCCTCCTTCCTCTCCTCCCTCCTCTGGGGTATTTTTACTTGGGCATTAAGAGCAGAGCCTCATTCCTGACATAAGGGTTAGAGTCACCATGCAGATTCTCATAATTCCATTGCATCACTTTCTATGTTAATCTTTTCATTGTCATTGCAGTTTCTTTACATTAATATAATAGTCAATGCAATGAATTGTGCTTGTGTGTTGTCATGTTATAAGATTGTCTGGTATAAGCATTGTGGTGCTTTGCTTTCTGGTTAATGCGTCAGACAGCACAGTTCCTGGGCCCTGTTCCTGTGTTCCTGTGCCCTGAGTGAACCCCCCCCCCCCCATCGTTATGTCACAGTTGTCCTAGTTTGACTTTGCCATATGGTGGACATTAAGCATGACCCCCACCAGGCATCCCGCCCCCCAGTGAGGGGCGTTCTATCACCCCGTGGGGACTTCGTCTAGGGATGCCATGCGTGGGATTCAGTGGGACTGTGTAACTTAATCTGGGCCAGGTTGATGCTTTATGAGCCTGGAAATCAAATTTATTTTCCCACCTGTTGAATTGCTGCACCAGCCCCCGCACCTCTGGCAGGGTTAGGGTGTTCCCCCCCCCCATGCCCCTTGCCACCTCTACCAGTCATGTCAAGGCACGTGTTAAGACTGTTTTGTGATATTGTTTGGATGGCCACACTGGCACAGCGGAGCAAGTTGGCAGAAAACGATGCAACAGACGAGCTGGTAATTCCTGATTTTAGCGTGGTCCTGCCAAAGCGCTCCTCCTGGCTGCTTCACAAACAGGACAGTTGTGCTCTGCATTCCATCCCTGCAATAAAGCTCATGCATTTTTTTGTTTGTTTTTGGGTTTCTGTAAATGCAGCCAGATCTTCTGTTTTGTCAGGCAGGAAGTGCATTCTGTTCAAATGTTAGTGTCTCTTGGTTCACAAAATTACTGTTAATTGGCATTGGTCCTCTTGGTCCTCTGGGTTTAGGCCTGATCTGTTGGCTGGATGTGGGGGGTGGGGGGAGACGTCTAGCTTTCTCCCTACCCCTGCATATGTGAGGATTCCTCTTCAGCTGACTGGATGAGTTCTCTGATGCCCCCTGCCACCCACAAGGGCACCCTGCCTCGCCAACTCTGCCTGGCATCCCGTCTCCTCAGCTACGCTGAATCTGCCCCCTGAGGGTTGATTCATGGGAGCAGTTCACACATCACTTTTGGTTAATCGGACGTTTGCCCCTGTGGACAGAGCGAGGCGCTTCACATGCGTATCAGCCCGAGCGGCTGTGCTCACTTGGCCTCTGTAACGGCCACTTGGTGTATTTTTCCCTTTTCATGAGTGAAATGAAAGTCTGGGATCCGCAGAGCGTTTGTATTTCTGTTCTTTCTTTAATAGACGTGTTAGACGTGGCCGGGATATTTTTGGCTGCAATTCAGTCTGAGCAGGTCAGTGATTGACAGTGTACCAGGTAGGAAATTTGAGCTGAAATATTAGTTATTAAGTTCTTTATTTATGAAATTGCACCCCCATACCCTGTCTAAAATCAGCCATTAGATGTTGGGTGGATGGATGTGTTTTTTTTGGCATGGGATGGGGTAATTGTTTATATAAGAATAATGTGAAGTGATGTAATTTCCGTCCTTTTCGCCGCATGAGATACTTGAAGCTGCGCAGACACGTGTTGTAGGGTTTACAGCTCAGCAGACAGATGGGTTTATCGATGACGGTAGAAATGACCAACGGGGGGAGCAGAAGTCAGTCATTATCAAGTCTCACACTGACGCCTGCGCGTGTCGGTATGTGGCCGTCATCGCCATGCTTGTGAACCTTTCCTCTTGGGACGCTGGGACACCCCATGCCTGTCCCGGGAGGTCTGCCAGATGGCAGGATCACCGGCTATCCTTCAGCAGTCCTGTATATTGTGCCGGTGGAGTGAGTCCCGGTCGTGGGTCAAATCTGCAGCTACACACATTCCTACACAAACGTCTTACTTCTACCTAGGGCTGTCACTGTTGATTTTATCAATTATTGAGTAATCTATCGATTAATCTGACGATTCATCAAGTAATCATTTATATATATAATATAATGAGGCAAATGAGGCAAAGCTGTTTCAGCCGGTGTAACATCTGTGCTGCCTGTATGTCTCACGTCTGTCAATTATCTGTTAACTAACTTGGTTTAAAAAAGTAAAAACTTTATATATTATCAGGCTGCTAAAAATATTGCACTTGTGTCACATGGTAAACAACGCGCGCCAGATGGGTCATCTATGCTGTCAAACAAAGAGAGCGGATCGCATGTCTGATGAGGGAGAATTAGTTCCAAAAAAAGCTTCTGCTTTGATTGTGTGGAAATGGTTTGGATTTGTGAAGTCCAATGTGGACCAATCTACTATAATTTGCAAATGTACCATTTGTGCAACAGGTGGCAACACAACCAATCCTTTATTTTTGTATTTGTTGTAAACTCAGTTCAGAAATACAGTTATTGATGAAAATGATAAATATTCATTTGAGAGCAAAAACTGGGACTTGTGACGTCTCCTGCTGCCCCCTGGAGGATGGGCTCCCCCTTTGGGTCTGGTTCCTCCCAAGGTTTCTTCCTTCTAGAGAGGTTTTCCTTGCCACTGTCGCCTCTGACTTGCTCACTGGGGGCTTTGGGCAGGGATAATGTAAAACGCTTTGAGAGAATGTAATGTTATGAAAATACCCTATGCAATTAAAATTGAAGTGAAATGAATATTTTACATACTTCAATAATTGAGTTAATCTGTCACACAGCAGTCGAGCTGCTCACTTGCCAAACGTGGGATTTATTTGCCCGCCCAGATCTTGGCCTTGGGTTGTGGGTCTTGGTCCAGACAGTAGAGCTGGCTAACAGACACAATGCAGATTGGAAGTGTGCGTCATCCTCTGTTAACTTTACGAGCTTTGCTGCTCATGAAACGCCGCAGGGGAGTCCGCAGGGGGGTGACCTGTGTTTTCTTTATCTGAGAAATGCCACACCGAGTGCCATGTCACTAAGCCTGAATATGTCTGTGTGACTGGGCACAATGAGCGTGTAGAGTAAGCAGGGGGGGCAGTACCTGCTTACTGCCTTACGACATTTCCTCATGGACGTCCCCTTGCTTGACCCCCTGTCACATGGGTTTTAGCTGTAATTGTGCTTCAGCAGATGTCCTCTTTAGCCCTGATCCCGGGGACAGCTGCCTGCTCTTCCTTGCAGAGATGCAGTAGAGAAAGAGCAGGTGGAGATGGATGCCTGGTGGCTTGGAGATGACCTGATTCATTTCATTCTCACCACTCTCTCTCTCTTTTTTTGTCCCTGAGCATACAACTATCTGGGTAGTTAGATGTTAGGAGACATGTTGGATATATATTCAGAAATTTGACCTTTTTTTCTCTCAATTGATATTTGTCTTGTATCATCACATTTCTGGCTGTGTCTCCCGGTCGGCCTGGCGGTGAAGGTTAGGGTTAGGGTTAGGGTTAGGGTTAGGCCGCCCAGTAGCACACATCAGGCCTCTTATTCCGGCTTGTCATGGCTGCCGCTCCGGGAATCCCAAGCTGGGGTGGGGGGCTGAAAAGTGACAGCTGGAACAAAGCATCTGGATTTCTATTCACTGCAGTGTGGGGACCAAATGTGTGCGCGTGCGTGCGTGTGTGTGTGTGTGTGTGTGTGTGTGTGTGTGTGTTTCTGATGCATCTGCTGTGCTTTGCAGCCGGGGTTGGGGCTGGTGCCTGGACGATGCCCCTGGGCCCAACAACTACACCCTGACGTCCCTCCTCCCTGGTGTGCTGTACAGTGCCTCACACCAGTGCCAACTGCAGTACGGGTCTGGGTCCCTGCTGTGCGACGACGTGGACGTAAGCCCCACACACACACACACACACACACCCACACACTATCCTGCTGTTTGTACAGGTTTAGCAGCTCAGCATCCATTTTCACGGCCAGCTGTTTCAGAAAACGCTACACCTAAACTGTTCCTGAAGACATACGCCCACCTAGCTGCCTGTTTAGATTTCTCTGGTCACTGTTAATGGGGAACTGTGTCGGGATTGCAGCCAGCTCTGCATTCGGTCGTGGGTATGAATGAGCACAGTTTGGTTAAGCTCCACCCACACTGGGCAGCAGAGTGATGGACGTCTGCACCAGGGTTTGTTCACGTATCAACATTAATCCAGCAATCCATCCAAAATTAACGCATCAGTCTATTCCATTCCTAAAACTGTCACCTGAAATTTGGTATCTTTTGCTGATTAAGCGCCCTCATCCTGCGGCATGGGTGAGCCGCGTGTAATCCACCTCCACACCGCTTACCCTCACTGTGAAGCTGTCCTGTACAGTAGGCAGGGCCTGCATGCTGTGTGTTGCACTGCTGGCTTGCCGTGGATGGCGTGCAGACAGGGCTTATATCGGCCGCCCCAAGCCTGCATGACTGTGAGGTCCAAGGCGTTCAGCGGCGAGCAGAAGGTGGTGCCAGGGGACACACACATGTGGGCTCATCCTGAAATTCCCTTTTACGCATGATATCAGAGAGTCAAGGTGGGGGGGGGGGGGGGGGGGGGGGGGGGGGGGGAGGGGGGGAGGGATTCAAAGTCCTCATCCTGGGGGTGTGAAGCAGCCCCTGTGTTTTACTAAAGCTAAGTAGAGATATAGTACGTACTGTAAGCCTTTCCCCTAAAGCTACTCTCTCATTGTGCCCAGTCACACAGACATATTCTGGCTTAGTGACATGGCACTCGGTGTGGCTTCTTCTGGCTCCCGCCCCCAATCCCTTCAGCACCTCACTGCCTGCATGCTGCCGCTCTCTTTGTCTGGCTTCTCGCTGCACTGTTGATTTTCACTCCTGTCAGCCTCACGATTAAATGAATCTCAGGTGAGAAATCCGACTTGACCTGGTTAATGGGTCTGACAAGGTAGGTCTGGGCTTGTAATTGAAAAAGAAGGGCATCAGTATGTTATTAAGACTAAACAATCATGTCACCTCTTAATCAGTAGGTTTGTGAGAAACAGTGTCGCTTTTAACAATGTTCAGATGGACCTCGCTGATTGTCCTTTCAGCAAGCATTAATATTTAGGACCAAATGTCACGGAGGAATGATTGCTTTGCTGATCAGTCTCCGCACACCTGATAAGCTCTGAATTGCGACCTTTTCTGCTTATCTGTGCAGCCAGGGCCAGAAGCCATTTATGTACATGGAACTTGAAGATGATCAAATCCCTGAATAACCAAATGCCCTTCTTGGTTTGCTGTTAACCTCTCTGGGCTGCATAATGTCAGCAGCTGTATGACAGAGTCACGAGGAGAGTAGCACATAATGGAAGAGGAAGCTGGGCACGGTGACTCTTACCAGTGCCAAGTATGGAAGAGGAAGCTGGGCATGGCGATTTTTACCAGTGCAAGGTCTGATGGAGAATTTGGCTAATGAGATGGTGCTTATCTCTGGATGCTAACTGTGAATTTTATTGAATGTGTATCCACCTGTTTGAGTAATAATAGCTAAAATTAGATTCAGTCATGAGGAGAGTATCAAGTAACGGGAGAGAAAGCTGGACAAGATGACACCAGTACCAATTCTAATGGAGAATTTACCTGCCAGGCTTCTAATGAGAAGCTGTTTACATGTGGATGCTAACTTTGAGTTTTACTTGATGTGTCGCCATCTCGCAGACGGACTTTTATACAGTGTGTATCCATCTTACCCATTTGCATGTATTTGAGAGAATCCTGTAAACCGGCAGCTGGTATCCATGTGGGATGGGGGAATATCTGAGAAACAGATACACCTCGGAGATTCAGCTACCAGAGGTGAAAAGTTCAGGTCCGCCAGTTGAGTATGAAGAGTCACAATCATAGACTAGTCAATTGGTTGGATGAAACAAAATCTTGGTCTTGGATTTTTACTTTCTGGACCTGAATTATTTACCTCTGCTAGTTACTACATAACCACTAATATGTGATTCATATTCCACATTTACACTGCATGCAGAATTATAAGGGAAGTAGTATTCCTGGCAATATTAGTATTCTTGGGCAGACTTATTAAAAGTGAATTTTTCTTTTGCTCGAAGCAAGTTTATTTAGAGACGTTAGACTGTCACAAAGATAAAAGACAAAGATTATCCTTGTGCTCAGTTATTAGCAAATCAGAAACCAAGTGGATTTTTCTCTCTCCACCATCAAAAGAAATAATAATAATGATAAACAGTTTTAGTTATTCAGTCTATATAATGAATAACAAACTACTGGCTCTTCTATACAGTCCACCTCACGAGCTGAATGTCCTGTATGGCCACCTTTCTACTAAATTTCCATCATGAGCCTGTTGTCCATTTGACCAGGCAAGCATTTGTATTGATCTCATCCTGTGTTGCCTGAGGCAGCTAGGACCACCCCCCAGATGCTGCTCTCAGCAGTGTGCTGCTTGGCACCTTGGTAAATCTCACCCTTCAGTAAGGCCCAGTACTTCTCAATGGGGGTTAAGTCAGGCGATATAGGGGGCAGGTCATAATTCAGCCACCTTTCAAGCCTTTCTTGGCCAATCCATGGAGTGCTTTGTTGCATGCGAAGGGCCATCGTCCCGCATGAACGTCATGCGAAGGGCCATCGTCCCACATGAACGTCATGCGAAGGGCCATCGTCCCGCATGAACGTCAGGCGAAGGGCCATCGTCCCGCATGAACGTCAGGCGAAGGGCCATCGTCCCGCATGAACGTCAGGCGAAGGGCCATCGTCCCGCATGAACGTCATGCGAAGGGCCATCGTCCCGCATGAACGTCATGCGAAGGGCCATCGTCCCGCATGAACGTCATGCGATGGGCCATCTTCCCGCATGAACGTCATGCGAAGGGCCATCGTCCTGCATGAACGTCATGCGAAGGGCCATCGTCCCGCATGAACGTCAGGCGAAGGGCCATCGTCCCGCATGAACGTCATGCGATGGGCCATCGTCCCGCATGAACGTCATGCGATGGGCCATCGTCCCGCATGAACGTCATGCGATGGGACATCGTCCTGCATGGATATCGCAACCTTTTAGATCCATCTCTCTTATCTCCTCTGTCCACAAAACCTATGTGACGACAGCCTTGAGACGTGTCTGTGCCCATTCTTAATGTTTTACCTGGCGTGTCTTATTGAGTGAGGGTCATGTTTCAGCCTGTTAAGGTTGACCGGACTTTGCATTCAGATTGTAGTAATGAATAATGGTGGCCTTTGATACCATAGAGTTTATGGAAGTCTCCCCTTTAATTTGACACAGATAATTGGCTGTTAATTTGTATTTTCTCTCTACATGCTTCTTCCATCTTTTGGGTGTTGAGCACAAAACACTGGATTCTACAATTTTTTTAAGTTTTGCGACAGTTGTTTTGCATCTCTCTGACTGGCAGTTTACCTTTTTTCCTGTTTTCTGTAAGGTCCTTTTTGGCCATTTTTACTAATAATAACAATTAGCTTTAAGGTACCATAGAATAAAAATCTGACTTTACCACAACATAGTTGAATATGAAGAGTTTGTTGCATTTTCATCGAATCTGAAACATTGTCGTTCCCTCTTTCAAATATAAATCCTGCATGTGCAAAAGACGATGGAAAAACATTCTAATTAAAAAATCCTTGACTGTCACGTAACAGCATCAACTATGCTGCCAAACTTAACATACACTAGATCATGTTTAAGCCCAATGGACCTTCACAACCTGCAGCAGAGAGGTAGAGAGCGAGAGACAGACATGCGTGCACGGTTTCCACAAGGGCACCTGGCAAGGAAAAAATATGTACTGACAGCCATTGAAGTAAAGTTGTTTATTGCAAGTAGGCTATGCTACGCTGCTATGCTATGCTATGCTATGCTATGCTGAATTGAAGAATGTAATATACCGAACTGCTCAGTAATGTGTGAGTATTTCAGCTTGCTTTGCATGACAGTGTGTGTGTGTGTGTGTGTATGCTATTCAGTGCCAAATAATAGGGTCTAAATGGGCCGGTAAAACTGCTTCTAGTCATTTTTCAACCAAACCAAGGTCATATACTGTCTATGTAGAAAGTAGAGAACAATTTAAAATGCTGAATTCATGCATTCTGTGGCAGCTTTAATGATTCTGTTCAGGGAAGTATCTGTGGCTTCCTGTCTCACTATAAACAGGAAGCACTCAGCATGCTGTATCTGAAAACAGCCCAGTTTTACCTGGAGTTTGATCTGGACTGAAATTATTGGCTGGAAGAGAAGATATAAGCAAAAGACACACTCACCTAATAGGATGTGTAGGATGACATCATCCTTCATTAAGCATCCAGCTCTGGATGGGAAAGACAACAGCACTGATTTCCAAGTCTTGTTGGATGTGAAGGTGCAACTGTGATGTGGCCATAGATGCGGCTTGACCCCGGGGCCAAGGTGGATGCAGGATTGCTAAGGATGGGCTCCAACAGAAATACTCCCTTGCAAAACTTCAGAGATACAGCATGAGGCAGGAATGACAGACTCAGATCTCTTGTACAGCAAGCAGCAGGGGTATCTGTACGAAATGAGACCCTTAAGACTCGTTCTTGGAGACCTACCTCCGTATCATCTTTGGCCAGACTTGAAACAGAATATTTATGCATCTTTCAAGGATCAATATACCAAAAACTTTTTATGAATGAACATGTATTCTTACTAAACAAGTCTGCTACTGATCATGAACGTGCAGCACGTTGAACTGAAGTGCAATATGCTGAATTGAAGAATGTAATATACCGAACTGCTCAGTAATGTGTGAGTATTTCAGCTTGCTTTGCATGACAGTGTGTGTGTGTGTGTGTGTGTGTGTGTGTGTCTTGTTCCCCACACTCTGCAGAATGTCTGCAGCACGCTGTGGTGCACTGTTGGGGAAACCTGCCATTCCAGGCTGGACGGGGCAGTGGATGGCACTAAATGCGGGGAGGATAAGGTGAGCTGTCCCGGCAAGGTCCTGGGGGTGCCGCAGTTTTGCCACCCTCCACAAGGGTTTGATTTCGATGTGTGCAATTAAATATATGAGGTATGCAAGTTTTTTTTGGGTTTTTTTTTTTGTATCTTCACCCCTGAATTTCTGGAAGGTATAATATCCCGGGTATCTGTTGGCTGTCTCCTCGCCAAGTGGTGCTACGGCGGGGAATGCGTGTCAGCGGGACACTGGCCCGAGAGGGTGGACGGCGGATGGGGCCCGTGGAGCGAGTGGTCGGCCTGCTCGCGGACCTGCAGCACCGGCGTGCAGGACGCGCAGAGGGACTGCAACAGCCCCATGTGAGTGAGCCGCCCGCTCTGCCCTGCTCACGGGCTGCGGATGCGGAGAGCACAGCGGCTCCGTGCCGCTCATCTGTATCCGGGACTTATTGCAGGAAAGTCAACTGGGGTCGTGAGAATTTCCAGCCTCAATCACAATCAGTGTATTATAAAAGTATCCAAAGGGGTGCTGCTAGAGATCTTGGGCCCCTAACCCAAACCAATCCAGTTGTGTTCCAGATATGTTCATCCTAACCTCCCTTCTGTTCCTTGTCTGATTACACGCATACTGTATGTAGAAATTCTTACTCCTTTACATTTTTACACTCTACTGATTTTTTTGTGGTTTTTCTTCTCCATGTTACATTAAAATCAAGATGGAATTAAACAAAAAAAAATTTATTACATTAAATGTACAGCGTAATATGGGTTAAAATCTTAAAATGATTCCCAGTGTTATCTATTAATGAAGCGTTAAATATCTTGACATTTAAATCACGTTCGTTAAAAACACACTCTGTAGGTTGTTCAGCTTTGGAGTAAAATGGGGACTAAAATAAGCCGATTTAACTGAAAATCAAGATCAGAAGGGGTGAGAAAGGCAGACTTAAATACAGGCATTGTTATGGTATTCAGAGTTTTATTACTAAAACTGGGAACTACAGCAAAACAGCCAAAACCAAACGCTGTTTCCCCTTCCTTCTCTCTCTGAAATATTAACATTTGGTTTTGCCTCTGCTGCATTACTCTGTTGAATGGAATGAGAGAGAGACCCTCTCCTTTGGAGTCTGCTGTTTTTCTGCTCCTGTAAAGTCTGAACTGCTGACCTTTGCTGCAGCATGTACCCTGTCACATGCTCGGAGCCTCCAATGGCCTCTTACTGCACGAGGAGTGTCTGGAACCCGGCGGATCAAATCACCCTATTTATACCATCGCACCTTGGGTGGTAAAAACGATCTTAGAGAAAAGCAGGGCCCTGAATGCTAAGCGGGTAGGAGATGCGTAAAACCCGAGCTTCTGCGCCTGCTGTTACATACTGCTGTTAAAAAAGCAGGTTTGTGCTTCGCTGCTATCTTCCACGTTCCAGTTCACCCTGTTAAGTAGCAGCTGACACTCGGAGCTGGCAATAACTGAAGCTGTTCCTGTTGCTCTCAGCCAGGTTCTGACAGGTTAGTTTCGTGTTGAGACGCTGCCCAGAGGTCACTTAGTGGGCTCCACTTTAACACCTCGCCACGTCGGAAGATTGAGATTCCTGAGTAGCAGAGCTGCTGAAATACTCCTGGCTATTTTTGGGATGTGCAGGATTTGCCTAGAGACAGTATTGTATTTTAACCATGTGTACATCCTTATAATGGAAGTTTTCATTTCTATTCATCTTATATAATCTCAGGTGCATCCTTTCAAAAAGATGAAAGACTTTCCAGGGTTTTATTTGGATTCATTTCAGTTAATGGTGCTTGACCTGGGGGATCGTTTCATATTTTGTGCACATTTCTGGCTTTTAGTGCATTTAATGATTCAAAGATTCAAGGATTTTTTTATTTGTCACATGCAAGGTTTACAGTAAGACTGTAAGCTGTAGTGAAATGAAAGACGGCCAGCTCTGCCATCAAAAGAAAGGTCATATCAAGAAGAGGATAAAAAGAGAAAAGCAACATAGTAAACAAATATGGTACAAAAAGTGCTGCTGGAAAATGGGAAGATGAAGGAAAGGGAAGATGAAGGGATGGGAAGGGAAGGGAAGATGAAGGAAAGGGAAGACGAAGTGAAGTGAAGGGAAGGAAAGGGAAAGAAAGGGTAGGGAAGGGAAGACAAAGGAAACGGAAAGGAAAGGGCAGGGAAAGGAAAACAAAGGAAAGGGAAGACGAAGGGGAGGGAAGATAAAGGGAAGGAAAGGGAAAGGAAGATGAAGGGAAGGGGAACGGAAGACGAAGGGGAGGAAAGGGAAGGACAGGGAAGACGAAGGAAAGGGAAGATGAAGGGAAGGAAATGGAAGGGAAGGAAAGGGAAGATGAAGGAATAGGAAGGGAAGGGAAGATGAAGGAAAGGCAAGGAAAGGAAAAGACGAAGGGAGTTTAGGGAAGACAGTGACTGCATGTGGAAGACATTTTTTTTATTTGGAGGAAACCATATACATTCATTAATTCCAGGATCTGAAAGTGTAATCTTTAAAATAACTGAAATGTACAGCCTCAGTAAAGTAATTATTTTTTTGGATAAAGTAATTATTACTTCACTGGGTAATAATTTTCTTGGCAGGAGTGGAAGGCAAAAAACCTTTTAAGGGACATGAGCTGTGCATTAGCATCTTAATGGAGTCTGAATCTCATCTGCTGATGCTTGACAGATGAACGCACAGCTGTAGGTTTATAATATAATTCTGAATAACTTATGTAGAAATACTGAAGAATGTACAGCAGCAACAACAACAACAATAATAATAATACACATCCCTTTGTATATTACATGTTAGACACAAATATACACAGTTTATTGAGAAATCTCCATTTTTTCACTCATGAGCTTAAAAAATGAAAGGACAATTAGATGTACATCTTGTGAATTTCAGTACTGATGGTGTTGGCTTTTCTCTCGGCTCTTACACACGTTGCATTCTGTGTGCCGGAACCAGCTGTCTGGGCTTCAGTTCAGCCGGGCCTGTCTGCCTTATGAATTCATGCACATTATAAATGGCAGGATAAAGCACTGGACCTAGAACCAACAGCTTTCAGGTTCTACTGTTCTGCTGAGTCTGTTTCTGAAAAAAGTCACACACCTGACCTTTGTGTGAACTTGCTGCATAACGATCCGAGTGCTCAGAGCTGTTATTCTAATCCTAGTGAGCCGATTATCCCACCTTCACTGCCAGGGCAACACCAGCCAGGGGCAGGCAGCCCTGATCCTGGAGTGCTGGTACCCAAACGAACATACAAACGAACCCAAACAAACACACAAACAAACCCAAACAAACACACAAACGAACCCAAACGAACATACAAACAAACCCAAACGAACATTCAAATTCTACTTGCACACAGCCATGTGTGGGAACCGAGCCCAACCCCCAGGGGTGTGACGGGGCAGCGATACATTTACCCAAGATGAAACCTCCTTCACAATGTACACTAACACCTGCACTACTGTCTTTTTCCTTTCTACTGTTGCTCAGCCCCAAACATGGAGGAAAGTATTGCCTGGGAGAGCGTCGCAGGTACCGGACCTGCCAAGGCAACCCCTGCCCTGCTGACGGGCCACCATTCAGGCTCGTCCAGTGCAGCCACTTCAACAACATGCCTTACAAGGGTAAATTCTACACCTGGGTGCATGTCAACAACAGAGGTGAGCATCCCATTTGGAAACAGGTGTATTTTTTTCCATATTTATTTTGCATCATATTTTTTCGGAATGAATGCTCTGCATGGTGACCCACCAAACCCCCCCCCCCCCAAACGCCATGTCTTTGCCAGTGAATCCATGCGAGCTGCACTGCAGACCTCTGAATGAATACTTCTCAGAGAAGATGCTGGATGCGGTGATCGACGGCACCCAGTGCTACGAGGGCAGCTCCAACCGTGACATTTGCATCAACGGCATCTGTAAGGTCAGGCTCCCCGCAGGCTGAGCTTAGTGTCCTCTAACAAACACACAGACCTTCCCAGCTGTAATTCACTGGGAATTTGCTTACTTCTGATCTCAGCCACCTGTTTTTTGTTGACATGCTTTAGCAGGTTTATTTGCTTAATAAGAACATACTTAACAGCACCAGACACTGGTAAGCTCTGCTCTCACCTTCTATGGTGGACAACTTGTGCCACAGATCCAGGTCTCATTGAGAGCAGTCACACAAATTTTGGCTTTTAATGAAGATCTTTTTGGGGAGGTTAGGGAGTGGCAGAGGTAGGGATTGGATGAGGGTTAGAAGATGAGTGAGTGAACTATAGCAGAAAATTGTAGGAACATCCTGTATACATTTTTTAGCAAAAAAAGATAAATCTGCAGTTCTCAAATGCACATTTTCTTGTGTGTACGCAATTATAAATAGATCTTATTTTTTTCAGAGCATAGGGTGTGATTTCAAAATAGATTCAGAGGCGGTGGAAGATCGCTGCGGTGTCTGTCGTGGCAACGGCTCGACCTGCGAAACTGTGAAAAAGACCTTTGAGGAGAGCGAGGGACGAGGTATAACCCCACGATGCCAGCCGGGCAAATGTGCATCCGGGAGGGTATGAGGTCAAAGCCAGGTCCTGAGAAACCATGCTTTTGAAAATGGGTTTGTTTTAACCACAGTGTAATTTTCTGATCTTGAGAAATATGTAGTTGTAAATTTATCAAGTAAAGCATTAATCAGCACAAAGTCTGACTCAGTACAGAATAAAGATAGGGGAGCTCGTATCGACTTTCATCCTAATTTGCAGTAATAATGATGTGTGTTGGTTCTTCTGGCCAGGCTATGTGGATGTTGGGGTGATTCCAGAGGGAGCCAGGGACATCCGCATCGAGGAGATGGCCGAGGCAGGAAACTTTCTGGCCTTACGAAGCAACGACCCTGACAAGTACTTCCTGAATGGTGGCTGGACCATCCAGTGGAACGGAGAATACAAGGCTGCAGGAACTGTGTTCACCTATGAGCGGACGGGCCACCTGGAGAACGTCACGTCTCCTGGGCCTACACTGGAACCAGTGTGGATCCAGGTATGGAAGCTTGGAAGAGTGATTCCCAAGCACAGGCACCACTGGGGGTCGCTTGTGCTGGAGCTGAACTTTTCCCATTCAAAGTTACATTGTTCATGCAAGTATTTCTGAGCTTTTCACCGGTTTCAGGTGAATTGTGGGAGCTTTGAAAATGAAAACTTGGAGGATTTTGATAATGCAATAGAATAAACCAAAGGCTGAAGTGTTTTTGGATGGTAATATACCAGATTGATTAATATGTGACACCGTGGACAGGAGGGATTCTGACGTCGCCTCTCAGCATTAATTATTAATTACTTTTAAGTCACGTCTTAGTTAATCGCTCTCTGGTGATTAGAAGAGTATGAAAGCTGGACTCTTTAACCACTGAGATTTATCTGGGGGAAGCACGGCAGGGAGGTGAAGGACTTTTTTTTCCCACAGAGCAGATTCCCTGCTTCCTGGCAAGTGTCCCACAATGGTGGCGGGGGGGGGGGGGGTTCTGGAGATACTGACTGTGACAGTATACAAAGAGACGGCTCCCACTGCTGTGGTAATGGTGCCGTATTTAGCTAAAGTTGGGGGGGGAGCATTCCCGGATAAGCAGAGTCCTGTAGCTGTGTATATTACACTAACAATGGTAATGTGAACGATCATTGCAGAAATGAAGACTGTTGAGCAGTGATGACCCCAATTTTAAGAAATATCTGATGTGTTTTTATAATTAAGGACTCGCAAGGGCACAGAAAGTGGAGTGTTTTTAAATTGGAGCTAAAGTTTTAAGTATTTGCTAATCATGTCGGGTCTTGTGTGGGTTATTTATTTAGGAGTCATGAAAAAATTTAAATAATTGTGTACCAGTGAGAATCTCTGGCCTTTTCTCTGAAAATTAAAAACATTAGACTAGTTGGATTAGATTATTAAAATGCTATGTGATCAAAAGCAAAACAAAAACACTGAACAGTAGCTCCAGAGTGCTGATACATTTTTTACTGGTTTAAAAAGTGCTTTTGCTGCTGCCATTTTTAAACACAGAGGCGGAAACGTCATTTAACATTAATTGCCTGATCAGTCACAGCGACTCCTAAATCTGAAGTTGTAGTGGAAAGGCACCCTAGGACACCATTGGGGTAACTTTGTTATGGTCAGCATATTTTATGGCTAAAATGTTTTTATTTTTTTATTTGTTAGTTAAATTTCAACAGCTGCTTCTAAATTGCTGTTGACCTTCAGATTCAGCTGGCGAAGTTTAGTGGTCTCGCAGTGTTAGTGACTGAGCTTAGCTGACCTTACTACATCCATGTCCTCGTGTTTCCTGTCCTTCTGATTTCTCTGTCCCCAGGAGGAGTCTGGACGCCTTTGTGGAAACCATTGCACAAGAGCCAACAAGCTATCGGAATTTGCACTGCCGGCCTTTACAAGCTGATTGCTGCAAACTAAGGCAGCATTTGTTCTTAGTGCAATAATAAGAACATGACCATCTTGTGTGGCCCTCTATTTGTTAACCGTGTTAGGCGTGAAACTGGCTGTTTTCTTCCAATAGTCTTATTTGTAATGAGGGTCAGTGTTTCTGCACATAGTCATTGTTAATGTTATAAATCCAGTGAGGGAAATAATGTAAACAAAAAAAAAACCAAACAACAACAAAACAAAAAACAGAACTGTATGGACATCTGCATGGTTCTTAATTGATTCAAATCAGTATTTGTCTTTTTGTGAGGCTTGTGTACTGTACCTCAAATAGCAGTAAAGCTGCATCAGTTCTCCATGCTCTGGTTTCATAGAATTTTAGCATGTAATATGCACAGAGGGTGGTGTTCTCCTTGGAAACCATGCTTTATGTAGTTATCAACATCCCATAATATAAAATAAAACATCTTAAGTGTGATGTTTAATGCCTCTCGCCTTTCCATGCATTGCTCGTCAAGTAAAAATACCAAATAGTACAATCAGCAATATTCCAATATGTACAATAAATACTCAGTAGCCTTTTTATAAGTTACTGCTAACTAGTACTGGGTAACGCTTTAAGGATCATTCAGAGATGACATACCGCTGTTAACCTGAGCTGCCATCCTCGCACCTGTGGCCTTCCTGTTAGCTTTAATGGATGTTCACACCTGAGCTCTCTCGTTAACCGCGTGTTTCTACCTATAGAACTGTCACGTGTCTTGCTCATCAGATCTTTCCCTGTAACTTTTATAGACTGTAGTGTGAGAAAATCCCAGGAAGGTCACTGGGATTGTTTTCTGAGATGAAGGAACCACCGAGCACCTCGACAATCGTGCCGGAATTCCTTTTATTGTGCATTTTATCCCTTCTGATGCATAGCCGAGCACTAACTGGACCTGTTGACCCTGTCTGTATGCTGCATGTATTTAGCTGGAACCTCCTGCCTCAGCTGTATGCAAGAGGAGGCGGTTTACAGTATCTTTACAAGCAGGTTTACTGAGTAAACTGGCCAGTGAGTGTCAAAGATAGGAAGGCCTCTCATTGCCGCTTATGGGGTCACTTTCTTGTCCGTTATTCCCAGAAATATTGCAGAATAGCTGTATTGCAGCAGTGAATTCTGATGATGTTTCTGTAGAAATAGCTAAAGGGCACCACTTTGAGCTTTGGGCACATTTGTAGCCAAAGAATATGGGCTATGATGGATATATTTAATTTCAGTGTCTTTGAAGGATTTCTGATCCACATAATTTGATTATATCTAGCTAATTGAGTCAATTTGTTTAATGTGACAGCTGTAGCACTTAAGCTTGGGATCTGAGGGCAATCTGGCCATTTGTCCCATGTGTCTGACCCATTAAGAGGCTTCTGCTAGATAGTCCAGAGCCAGTAGTATCACCATGGCTGTTGCCAGTTTTTAGTGTGAGACTTGATAAAAAGCTGCAGATTGCAGATTAAGCAATAATTTGCGTTGCTGTCAGGTAGGGCTGCACAATTAATTGTTAAAAAAAAAAATCTCGATTTACAGCTCTATGCGATTTTATTTCTAAACTACAATGGTGCTTCTGCATTGTATTACATCGGCTAGATGAAAACAAGCGCTCCTACTTTCTCCCTAGAGAGTCTCAAGCATCCCATAATTCTGCATTAAAGGGCACTTTCCCACTGGACCAGGTACCACACTTTTGGTACTTCAAGAAGGTATCAAAAATACGGTATTTCAAGGTGTAAATCAGTTTAAAGTTTACCTCCTTTGCTTTTGCATGGCCGTTGCATGCTTTCTCCAAGATAATCATAATCATTTTCATCCTTGCGGTTTAAATCACTCCTAGACGGGTTTGTGAGAAATTTCTTTTGAACTCCTTTTTTGTTTTATAAATACCCCAATATTTATTACAAAATTACATTGCAATACTTAAAAATTTCCCAATACCATTCTGTCCTTCTGTATTATGCAAATACTTCATTTCTTTATATGCTATACTGATCTCCGGTTCTTCTGACCAGATCGCAGTTAAAGCTTGAATCACTTAATTTGTCCATGCATCCATTATTTTTATTTTACTATTTTTTTTTTATCTCATTTATCGTTGTTTTCAAGGTGGCGTTTGTATTGCATTTCAGAAGCAGGCTATTTGTGTAACTGATTGACAAATAAAGCGTTTCAAATCCCACCCCAAAGTACCAAAGTACCGAAAGAGTTCCCCCCCCCCCCGACACTTCTGGTACTGAAACTTTTGGTATGGCTGTTTTGGTTACTCTAATTGAGTATTTCCTTCCTCTTCTCTTAAGTTGATATGCTGGTCCTGGATCAATCATATGTTTGGCTCATTCATGTTTTTTTGTGTTTCCTTTTGCAGTTTACTGAGTGCAATAATTTTTTATTTTTTATCGTGATCTCTGTTCTAAGCCAAAAAAATTGTAATTCACATTTTTTTCAGAATTGTGCAGATAACCATGGTAAAAACAATATTATGGTGCTTCTCTGCTGCTCAACTTTCAACATTTTCCCTTTTCCCTCCGCTGAAAGTTCCAATACCTTAAGTACCAAAGCAGCTGGTACTTTCTTGGCAGCAGTAAACTTTAAACTGATATTTTTAAAACATATACTCGATTATCATGATAATGAACAATAAGTAAAATTGCAGTGCTTGCGACGTCTTGTTTGCTATTACAGAGTAAAAATGTTTTAGTGAAACTTAAACCCCCCGCACTATAATGTCCAAAGAATATGAAGTTTCAGAAGTCCCTCCGTATCTATGTGTGATAAATGCCAAGACCTTCCGTGGCTATATGAAACGATGGGTAATAGTGAACCCTGCCCAGACCCAATATGATACTTGATTATCACATACTTACATACGGTAAATGGTAAACTCGCATAGTAAGATATTACCAACATTAAATACAGTAATAATAAAGCATTGGTACGTTGTACATTATTATACAGTACTGGTATTAATATTGCACATCACCAAGCCCTGTGATATACTATTTCCTAATTTAGTACAAAATACCCCGGCTTGCGTTGTGATGTCATTTGGTGGTGGTGCCAGTTTTTACACCAGTGGAAAACCAGCACCTTGAAGAACCATACTTTTGGTGCTTTCTTGAAGTACCAAAAGTACAGTACCTGGCGTGGTGGAAAAGCGCACTTGATTCCTTTAGAAAGCACAATTTTTTCGTGAGGTTTAGTCCAAGTTAGAGAATATTGTTACAATATCTGCAGATATAACATCAGCTTGGATGGTTGGTCCTTGCCATGCTGTCGGTGGATGAAAGTGCTGCTCGCGGCTCTTTGCCAGCCTTGCAGTCCATGTTGGAAACGCGGGGCGGGGACCTTTAAAGTGGCTGAGTGTAAACCTTCACACAAACACCACGTGCCTCCTGCAGACGGTGACTCATTCAGTACGTCTCACAGGTGCTGCTTTGAATAGACATAACTCACAGAGAGACATTTCCCACAATGCTACTGGCACTAACACTGGAATGGAATTTCAAATTAGAATGTTAGTTTTACCACAGTATAGTACTTTTTTCCAACTTTTCACTCTTTCTGTATTCCTTTAACTGTATTAAAAACCTGTTGAAAGAAAATTTACTTATATTATATTATATGTTACAAGAAACTGTTTAAATGCAACTTGCAGGTTACTACAAGATAAATGTTTCACTCATTAAAAAGACGCCAGAAATGATACTTGTCTCATTTTTGTAGCATTTTAAATGCTCCCTTATTCCTCAGTATCAGCATCACAGTCCCTTTTAATAAGAGTCTCAGTGTCTCTCAGTGTTTGCGCAGCCCTGCTCTGCAGCATCTCTATCCTCCCCCGTGCAGTCTGAGGACAGCCGGAACACGCCGTCGGTGCATCGTATCGATGGGCTGTGCCGGTGCTGCATGTTGTTCGGCGCTGAACTCTTGCTTGTAGCGGTTGCTTGGCACGCTCTTGTTTGCTCTATCTAACGTATCTTGTATCACTGTTTTTCTGTTGCAACGTGTAGCTGCTCTTCCAAGAAACAAACCCCGGGGTGCGCTATGAGTACACCATCAGCCGAGAGGCCCTCGCAGGCTCCGACAACAACATTGTTCCGGAATTTCAGTGGAAGTATGGCCCCTGGACCGAGTGCAGCGCCACCTGTGGAACAGGTAATGTAATGCGTAGCATTTTAAGCATTGGTTAGAAATGGGACAACAGTTAATCATCTACCAATTCATTCATCAACAGTCTTAAGTATATATGTTGCATCTACACACAACAAATACCTATCATGGGATCATTCTTGACTTATTAAAGGCATTTTTCATCAATATTTTAAAATGTATGCACTTTTAGATGGGGCAGTACAGTGGTACAGTGAGTCTCTGCCATGGCTCCATATGTGTGGAGTTTGCATGTTCTCCACGTGTCGTTGTGGGGTTTCTTCTGGGTGCTTCGGTCCCCCCATAGTCCAAAAATATGCTGAGGTTAATTGGGGTTGCCAAATTGCCCATAAGTATGCCTGTGTGAGTGACTGGTGTGTGAGTGACTGGTGTGTGAGTGACTGGTGTGTGAGTGACTGGTGTGTGAGTGAATGGTGTGTGAGTGAATGGTGTGTGAGTGCGCCCTGCAATGGGTTGGTGGCCCCTTCTTCGGCTGTTCCCTGCCTTGTGCCCATAGGCTCCGGACCCTACATGACCCTGAATAGGATAAACAGTTAATGGATGGATGGATGGATGGAATTATTCAATTTAGGGAGAATTTATTTTGGTGACCAACAGGCCTGAGCAATGTATTTTTATTTTTTAAGTGATGATAAGGGATTTCAAATATTTTACTAAAAAGTTATTGATTTCAGTGTCTAGTTGTAAAAGCTTTTTTTCCATTTACTTCACTTACTGATATGAAAACTAAGTATTCGTTTCAAAGCACACCTTTCACTGTATGAGGGGGTGGCTTTAAATGGCTGTAACCTTCAAAAATCCTTAAATAATATTTGAAAGCAATCGTGCTTTTTAAATTACTTTTTTATTGTAGACAAGAGGTGATACTCCAGTCTCTCACACTGGGGAAAAAATGGAGAATGTATCAGTTTGTGTGAAGCATTTATGTAGCTCATTGTCACAACCGACGGTACGAAGGACTCGGGGGCAGGTGTGGAGGAGAAACAAAAGAGATTATTCAAAGTAAACGAACAACGGCAGGAAATAAACAGGATGACCAGGAATCAAAACTGGGGAACTGGAATGAGGTAGTGCACAGGTGACAAGAAGGTATGACATCAATGACTGGACAGGGGAACAAAGGACTGGGAAGCACATATACACAAGACTAACAAGGGAGCTAAGGAGAAGCAGCTGGAAGTGATTAACACAAGGGTTAGGAATGAGAGGTAAGACAAATGAGTAACAGGCACGGCTTGTTAGGATCATGCTAGGGAAGAGACCAGATAGTCAGGTGGACATAGCATGCAGGATGTGACACTCATATCTTAAACCAGCCAGATTGATACTTATTAAACTCATTCATCGTGTTGTTTGATGCTTTATAATTATGGAGATACTACATTGAGACATCCAAGGGTCACCTGACTAACTGACAGACAGGAAGGGATTCAGAGCAATGGAACCTTTGATCGGCCTCAGCTCTTTGACGTAGCATCTGAACTGAGGAAACATCTGTCTGTAACAACATCCCCTGTCCGGTATCATTTTACATTGTTTCTTTTCGCCATGGCTATTCGTAAGAGTCTTATGAAGTGTTTTTGTATTGATTCTCTACAGTTCGAGGCTGGTAAGAAATGTTTCGTATTTATGGCGGCGCAGGAAGATGTGCTGTGATGAAATTCAGGTCACTGAAGCAAAGGGATTTAAGTATTCAGTTTCTGTAAAAATACTGTTATTTAGTTTGTTTTCTAGGTAAAAATGATACAGCTGTTGTTAGAAAAAAAATTATTATTATTAATTAAAATTTCCAGTTTAAACATTCAGTGTCCATCCATCCATTTTCTGTAACAGCTTGTCCTATTCACGGTCATGGGGGGTTTGGAGCCTATCCCAGAGGCTGTGGGGGCAAGGAAGGAACAACCCTGGTTAGGGCACCAACCCGTCACAGGCCAAGCATGGACCCAAGCACAGACCAGGATAGGAGTTCTTGTACTGAATGCTGATACAAGTAACCTTTACATGGCTTGTTAATGTCCAAGTGATTAGCAGAATTTTTTTTCTAAAACGAGTCAAATGAGGTTTCAGTATAGTTAAATGCAGACAAACAACAGAACAATTGTCTGCTGAGTTCAAAGACTGGCTGTTTGGGCTTTAAGTGCACCTGGATATGAGGTAATGCATGCACACTTATGGGAGGTGGGGCAAGGGCATAGGGGTAGGGGGGGTGGAATTGTCTACCAAAATACTATGGAGCAGAAAACAAAGTGCCAAGGACAGAATGACCTGTGCGTGAAAGTTCATGGCCCAGATTGCAGTGTGGCAGAGTGCAGTGCAGAGTGCAGTGCCTGCAGGACAGAGCCCACCCTCCTGGTGGATGAATCTGCACAGATGTCATTTTGCACAGCATTTGCAGGGCTGAGCAGACTGGGAGGCTGAGATCTGCCAGTGTGCCCAGGATTGCTTTTTGGAAGCAGGCGTGTGGCGAGCCCGAAACTGTCAGGAATTCAGTCAGGAAGCAGGACTTCAAGCTGGCCGCTGTCTGGTGGCCTCCCTTTGGGAAGCAGGACTGGAAGCTGGCCGCTGTCTGAAGGCCTCCCTTTGGGAGCACGGCCGCCTCTGCTTAGCCTGGCTTTCTTTCCGTTACTAAACCTGCTTCTGAGGACATACTGGATATTTCTGTTTGCTTTCAGGGTCCTTGCATATTTAAGCGGTGCTTTGCTTGGTGGGTTAGCAGGTCTGTGTCTGGATGGTCGCTGGTTCAAGCACCATGGGTGGCATTTTGGCCCTTGCTCAAGACCCCTAACTGCTGCAGGGGTGTGGGGTAAATGGCTGACCTCGCCCTCTGTCTCCAAGCATCAATCTCTCACCTGAATGTGTGCGTCTCACGGAAGGCGGGACAGGATACGTGAAAACCAAATGATTGTTAAAAGTAAAATCAGAGGTTGTAACTGTATCTTCAAACTTAAATGTGTTCCAGAGACGTGTGGAGACATTTCAGCATATTAAATTGCCCTAAGAAAGAGGATACTTGCTTCATTTCCCATGGTGTGTCTTATGTCAGTGGTTAAAAGTCTTTGAAGATCATGTGTAGTGTTTTGAGAGGGGGTGGGGGAGGGGGGGGGGCATGCCATTTGCCGGCTGTGAGAGTTCTCGCACAAAAATGTCAGCCATCATCTTTGCTTATCTTCCTTCATTTGACTTAAAATACAGATATAGCTGACGGTGCAGCCCAGAATTAGATTAAAATAGCTTGAATCGCACATTTATTTAATTTTGTAGGACCCACAGCACAGAGCTTGACAGGTTCTGCATGAACTTATGTTCTTCATGTATGAATAGTTTGTTGTAGTTGAAGTATTTATTTTCTGTTATTTTTAAGCTTAAGCCTTACTGACATTTGTATTCCCAAAAATGTCCTGGGCAGTTCCTGTGGTGGCAACCTGAGCTTCTCTCCAGCTGGATGTTGGTGAAGCAGCCGGCCGTGAAGCGGTGCTTCATCAGAGTCACATGCTTTGCTGTTCTAGAGAGTATTGTCATCAGTCAGAACACTGGATGAGGGGAGAATGGCGGGACTAGAGAGGCAAGAGCCAGAGGCTCCCCGATCGCACATGTAGATTCTCAATTAGTACTTTTGTTTTGAGTGTTGAGTGTTTTATACTACAGTTCATATATGGTGCATAAATCTACTGCCCTTGTTTGCAGGGGGCTTTGGTTTGTGTTTTTTCGATATTAGGCAACGATTTTCAAATGCAGTTGTATCCAAAGTGACTGATTTTTCTGCACAGCATGTGAAATGGCCGGTAGGATAATAGGCTGGGACCCCTCATGGTATTTAATATGGTGTTATCTGGTTAAAATGAATGACAACCACAACAGCTGCGGTCATGGGGCAGCATAAGGCAACAAAATGGCAAAACATGGATTCCTCATAGGAGAAGAGCGAGAGTGGGGGGTTGGAGAAGCCCAGCATGAAGCCCTGTCTTCTCTAAGGCCTGGTGATTGCTGTCCGCATGTGTTTTTGTTGACCAGCTTAGAGAGCACAGCCCCTCGAGGCTGCTCTCCCAGCCAGTTTTGCAGGTATCTTTGTTGGTTCAGCTGGATAACTGACAGCCCTCCCCCGCCCCCCACTCCTTATTTAACACCTGGATCTTGCCCAGGGTCATTAATTGACTATCAGGATGAGAATGGCTTTTGATCAGGATGAGGTGAGGAAGGTAGGGCTACTTTACACTGTTGGTGCCCCAGCTGTTATAGACATTCAGAGAATTTCCTCCTTATAATTCACTCCTTTGACCTTTTGGGCCACTAATTATCCAACTGTCCTTTGTCCCACAAAGTTGAAGAGCAAAGGTGGTAACATTCTTTGGGCGTCTGCTATGCCATACAGTAATTGGACAAGATTGGCGTTTCACAGCCCACTATGTTTATTATATTGCTTGATAAATGTTTGTATAATTGGGGACTTCATGCAAAAGACCTGAGGGGCATTTCTCATTTAGATATAGAAGAAATTAAAGTATGTTGTCAACGATTATATATGAGATTTTAGATTTAATGGAGTCGAATAATATCTTACATGCTCAGTGCTCAGAAAAGACTAATTTAATTTGTGTCGCCTAAGGGTCCACTCAGAGGCACGCACACCGGTACCATCACTTGAAAACTATTTTGGAAATCTAGCTGAACATGGTTAACGTCATTTAAAAGGCTCCTTTTTAATGCAGATAATGAGTCTCTAGAGCAGCGGTAGGCAAGTCTGATCCTGGAGTGCTGGCTTCCAGCTGGTTTTCTCTGGCAGAGAGAAACTCAATCCAGGCTTAATATACAAATTAAACATATTGATTATGGATAACATATATCAAAATCTAGTAACCCTGATTTTAAACACGGGGTAGTTACACACCACCGAACAGGAGCAAAGGTAGCACACAGGCAGTAGCACACAGACAGTAGCACACAGGCAGTAGCACACAGACAGTAGCACGCAGGCAGTAGCACACAGACAGTAGCACGCAGGCAGTAGCACGCAGGCAGTAGCACACAGGCAGTAGCACACAGGCAGTAGCACACAGGCAGTAGCACGCAGACAGTAGCACGCAGGCAGTAGCACGCAGGCAGTAGCACGCAGGCAGTAGCACGCAGGGCTGCTTTGCATCCATGTCTGTTGGGCTGCTGCACTTCCTGCTCCTCATACTGTGGCATAATTACCATGCAGGATTGCTGACTTTCCTGGATTGTAATGCAACTGGTTTTATTGAGAAAATGCAAACTGTTAAGTATCCAGAAGAAAGTCCCGTAACATGTGACTGGGATCAGTGGGTTCAGTGTTGACAGCAGAGAGATGTTTTCTGATATGTTATGCAGATGTTTTACGCCATTGTATTTAGTGCACTGTAAGTTAATTATCAGCCTTCTCTTTGCAAGACTGATTGCTGAAGTGCATATGGAATTAATAGCAAAGTAAGATCACTGTCCTGCAGCAGGTGTGGGCCTGCTGCCTGGGAGAGGGTCTCACTGTCCTGCAGCAGGTGTGGGCCGGCTGCCTGGGAGAGGGTCTCACTGTCCTGTAGCAGGTGTGGGCCTGCTGCCTGGGAGAGGGTCTCACTGTCCTGTAGAGAAAATGATAAAATTACCAAAAAAATTGAGCGAAAAACAATATACATACTATGATGCAAATTGATTTTATTGTGGGTTGCATGCAATAAAGTTGAAAGATTTTAAAATATTTAATCTAGTTTTATGTTATTTAACTGTTACAGTAATGAGATTTTTTGGCTACCTACTTAGGGAAAATGTTAAAGAATCAATAAATCAGAGCAACAAAAAGACTTATTCTTAATAAACATAAGTATTTCATTGTTTATTTAAAAAAAAATCTCAGGTTTGTGGGAGTGACCGAATCGCTTTCAGATCTCGTGAGGGCTAATGAAAGGAGGAAAGCAAAGGCTGGTTTTGTGTTATTCCAGTTGCTGCATTAATTGAATAAATAAATGTGTTAAAAGTGTCATGCATAATGTTGATGACCAATTATGGATGCAGTTTGATCTGTATTTGTTTTACTTATTTAACTATTATAATTAAGGCTGGCATTTTTGTGAACAAGAATCATTTGCCATTTTCTTAAAAAAAAAATATGCTGAATTTAAAATGTAATTTTACTTGGGCTGCTGGAAGCCTGCCTGTTCAGCTGGCTCTGTGACATGTTTACATCTTGTACTATCAGTGTAAAGTGCTTCATTGCTTTAAACGCTGATTATAAGCCCAAATACTGGAAGATGATAACACTGCAGATGAGTACTGCAGATGAGTACTGTTTCAAGTATCATGGTGTGTCTTTTCTGGATGCTGTCTAGTAACAGTTTTGCCATCCCTTGGAAAATAAGGAACGATCCGCCCTCCCTGCTGTCTCACTTCATGATACACATCTGCTGCTTTTTGCTGCCAGTCAGAAAGACGAGTTCTGATATAAGAACCTTGAAATTGACTGTCGGAGTTGATTCTGCTTGAAATCAGAACAGTGACTCAGACGCTCTCAGAACAGTGCTTTCACAATTTCTAGGAGAATCTTATTTAAATTTATGGATGCCGCCTTACAGTCTGCTGGGAGTGCGTTTGCAATTGTCTGCATTTGAATTGTGCCCTCCGGATAAGCGCGGCTTGGGGGTCGTCTGGAAAGGCGGGCTGGAAAATAGCAGGTGAAATTAGGTGCTTGTTAAACCTCTCAGCCTGAGGAGAACGGAGGGGTTTTCGGCAATCTGGTCCAGGCATGTTCCCTTCCAGCTCCCCCACCCCCCACCCCCCTGCGTGTGATGGGTGACCTGAGTTTGCACTGGGCTGCTGCAAAGATGCATTATCACTGTGCTTCATGGAGTGCTGTCACGAACACAACCCATTCCTGTTATCCCACTCATTAAACAAAAAAAATTAACAATAAAAACAAAAAATTTAATGATCAAGCTGCAAATGAATACCACAGTATCAGTATCTTAGAAAATCTGAGTTATCGCTCTGATTTCATGACATTGCATCAGAGACTGCAAGTCTACTGTTTTTCCTGAAAATGTCCCTAAATGTATTAGTGATAGTAGTGAATTCCAAGGATTTCTCTGTAGGAAGCAGATGAGATTCCTCCCACGGCGCAGGGTCTGAGGTCCAGCGGTTCAGCATAGGGACACGCTCTGTCTGACTGCTGCAATCACCAGTACTCTCAAGTAATCAGGGCTTTCCTGACGTTGTTCTGAATAATGCCATTCATTAGGCATCTAGTTCTAAAACATACTTAAGTGAAGTTAGAGTTGTCAGTTCAAAAAGCTTTTTGTGTTATTGTCCTGGGTTCATCCAAACTAGAAAAATACTAATGAATTATCGAGAAATTCAATAGCGTTCCAGTGCTTTTGATGAACACTATCCATTTTATCTCCATTGTAAGAGAGTACCTGAGTTTTTGTATGCAGATGTACACTTTCTAATGTAATTTCACTGGGGGTACATTATGGTGCCTTGAATAGAGAGGAAGGGGATCTTTTAGATTTGACCAGAAATCAGTCCTCCACAACATGGGTCCCTGAGAAATATTTGAAGGATCATTTTATAACACAATAACATCTGGAAGCAATTGTGGCTTTTTATGTGCTAGCAGATAGGATCTTTGCTATGAACTGATTTTCCTTACTCTGGGTAGAACCTGTGAGGTTATTAGTTCAGTTTGATAAAAACCTATGTATTTGGCACAGCAGGAAATGTAACATACCATTATCATATAGATTACAGTTTTAGATTGCAGTTTTCTTCCATCCAAGCCTGGGATTGCAGTGCCTGGCACCCGACCCAGGAAGCCTCGTGGTGGGGGGGGGCTGCCCAGATGGGAAGCCAGTCGAGCCCGATGCCCCACACACCAATAAAATAAGGGGCAAATAAATTGCACATCTGTGAACTGTGGGAGGAAATCGTAGTGCCCTGAGGAAAGGCGTGCAAACACTGGGCCAGTGCGCACTGCACACACAGGGCCACGGAGCATGGGGGGGGACCAGATACTGGAGGTGTGAGGCCACTGGGAGATCCACTGCTTCACTGCAACTCCTTATTTGTAAGATTCTCTTTTATTTTAAGTCATTTATTTTTCTTATTGGCCAGAGTTCTAACACCGTCCTCGGCAGCAAAGAGCCGTTTTTCCACCCTTCCGAAGGCCGGTTCCTGCCAGCTGCCCTCCCAGTGACGGCTTCTCGACTGCTGTGGCACACAGTGCCGTCTGCAGCGTACACAGGAGCCCCGCCCCCCCCACAGAGGGAGAAAACCAGCAGTCTGGCTGGGCAGAATGGATGCCCAAAGGGCACAGGAGAAACATAGGTGGCAGGCGTCAGAGGAAGACGTAAATCCGCAGAAGTCCCCGCCCATCGAGTTTGTGGTGTCTGGAGTGCTGCGGTGAACGTCTGCCCGAGCTGGAGCTTGGAAATCGGTTCCCAGGAAAAACAAATTACTGTAGCATCAGCTTAGATCAGACATTTCATGTGCAAGTTGTATTATTTCAGCTCATGTGTTTAGCTTAGAAATTCTATTATACTTACTTCATAGATACTGTTTGTCTTTAGAAAACATAGAAAATATGGGCAGTTCCCTGGAGTTGGTCGGTCTCTGGCTTCTCAGCTGATTAAGCGGCCGTTTCTCTTATCAGAGCTGTTGCTGTTGCATGCTATTTGCCAGGAGGCCTCAGGCTTTTGCTTTGAGAGCAAAGAGGTCAAGTAATGATAGGATTCCAACGCCTGTGAGTGACTGGCTGAGGACTGCCTGCTGGGGGGGGGGGGAGCTCCCTGGCCAGGTGGCCTGTTTCCGCACAGCCTTGCCGCCTGTGTGCCGCCGTTGACCTTTGACCTGCCTCCTCAGGTGTGCGGAGGCAGCCGGTTCTCTGTGTGGAGCAGACCTCTGGGACAGTGGAGGAGCATTTCTGCGATCTGACGACCCGCCCTGACGACAAGCAGGCTACCTGTAACGAGGGGATCTGCCCGGCGATGTGAGCTCCGCCGAGAAGACCTTCTGAGTAAACTCTGAGCCGTGCCAAGGAGGATGCTGCTGTAGGATGATAAAATAGGTTTGAAGTATCTGAGATGCATCAGGGAACCCTTGATTCTTCAAGAAGGCCGGATGGTTCTGATTGAGGCTTGTTGTTTTGTGAATGTACCCCCTATAGATTCCCTGAAATTGTTCAAAGCCCAGTTGAGAGTGTGCTGCTGTTTCTGTCTTCCTCTCCTCTTCATGAAGGCAGTTATTGTGAGAGCTGCCACTTATCTGGGCGTCACGTCGCTGAGAAATCCTCTCGTTTTTGCTTAGATGGTGGCTAGGAGAGTGGCACAAGTGCTCCGCCAGCTGCGGCCACTCAGGCCTGGCCAGGAGAGCGGTGCTCTGTATTCAGAGTGTGGGTCTGGAGGAGCAGAAGGCCCTGCAGCCCTCCGAGTGTCAGCACTTGCCCAGGCCTGAGTCCGTCACCTCCTGCAACACTCACATCCCTTGCCCTGCAGACTGGACCGCAGGCAGCTGGACGGAGGTGAGGAGGCCGTGGACATGAAAGTGTGCAGGAGGCAAAGGCAGATCTGAGCCTGACTGGCTGTACGGCTGAGTCCCAGTAACCTGGCAATGCTGGGACCAGGTTCTTGCACGCCTCAGTGAAGTCAAACAAACAACAAATAGTTTTATGGTTATGGCAATGTCATTACTGAACAAAAATAGTTACTCCCTTTTTATTGGAATGCTGTTTCAGATTAGATGTGTAATATATGTACTAAGCGTCCCACCAAATTCCATATAAGGAGCTTTTTCACATTGGGCCGCTCTTATTGGCCTGTGCTGAAAGCGCTCAGGTTGAGGACTGTCCGTCTTACAGCTTTTATAAAAACTCTCTCACACTCTCCCTTGTTTTCTTTCAGACTATATTGGGGCAGTTGGTTCTGTTAGCATGAGAAGCTGAAAAAGCTGCAGTTGATGGTGTCACATGTTTTTTATTTGTTTTAATCGCTGCCGGTTGTTGATCTGCAGTGCTCCGCGACATGCGGTAGGGGGGTGCAAGGCCGCACCGTCGCCTGCTCCAACAACACGGGCGTGGCCTGCGATCCGGGGAAGAAGCCGAAGGAGGAGATGCCCTGCCAAATGCAGGACTGCCCGCCAGTGCTGGACGGCTTTGGAAATGAGTGGTCTGGCAGTGGATCTTCCAGCAAGGAGGTGTTCAGTGACACCAACTCCATTCCCGATGACAACCACATGCCCGGTTCTGAACAAGGAACCACCAGAGCTCACCCCGCTAGGCCCGCTGGTGACATGAATAACATAATTGACGAAGGCTTCTCCCAACAAAACCATATAGATCATGCTGCCGCTAACTACATTAGAAACAACGTACAGATCGATGACTTTTATTATGATTACAACTTCATTGGCTTTCACGAAGACTTGTCAGATGTCTTTGGTGAAGGAGAAGGTCTCGAAACCGACCGTAACGAAGGACCTGCCGGTCCTGGGACTGTCATGAGTGTCCACCTGGGATCAAGCACCAAGCCGCCCACTTCAACCTCACGCAAGCCCACGGCCACCTCTGAGGACGCCAACTACATCGTCACCACACCTCACAGCATCGACAACAAGCGACCCAAGACTACTGCTGTTCGAGATCTGGAAAATACTGAGGACCACGACGGTGAGAAACGTGGAGAGGATTCAGAAAACGAAGAGGAAATCTTGTACGCGGAAGACCATTTTCTGCCTGTGTCTGTCACGCCTCCGACACACATTTCAAATATTAGGCTTACGGAGAAATGGAAGGAAGATCATAGCAGCCCTGGAAGTGGCAGAGAGGCCCCGACAGAGGGAGGTCTCACCCCTGCTGATACATTGGGGTCTACAGCTAAAACAGGTGCAGCCAGCAAAGTGAACGCAGAAGTGGAAGGCAGTGATGCTGATGCAGACACTAGAAATCATTGGGATTTTGCTAGTGATGTTTCCAAGTTTGTCACTGAGGGAGAAAGGAATGTTGCTGATCATTTTGACAGTGGGCCTCCGGAGTCCGATCGGGGGTGGAGTGATGCGGACAACTGGAAAGGAACAGATCCTGGAGACCAGGAGGGCTGGGAAAGTATCTCACCATCACAGGAAGCTCCACCCTCTTCTCCTCCCACTGTGATTCACTTTGAGACCAACCAGGATAATGTACTTTCCAGTAGGCCCGCTCCACTGAGCCAGGCTCCACCGAGCCAGACTCCACCTGCGACTACACCGAATTACGATGCTCGAAGCACAGACTCCACAGAAACACATTCTCTGGGGATTTTCACAGGCGAGGACGAATCGGGTCAATACTACCCAACAGAGTCTATTGAGTATGACGTCACTGATTCACAGCACCCTGGGACTTCGCAGCCCATCCCACGAGATCTGCTCTATGTGCCGACTGATTTTTCTGACCTAGCCGCAGAAAGTGAAAGCAAGGATCTGGAGGATGCTTCAGAATCCCCTGTAACTGAGGCGGCATCCACTGTCCCCAAGGCTGGTGACATTTTCAGTACCACAACGCCAGACACGACTATCATGACTGAACCGAGCGATGCCACCCCTACGGAATCTGATACTCAGGCCCCAGCCACTGGGTCTGGGTGGGACTATACTACAGCGATTGGGCCCCCGGGGGGAGCCACAAGCCCACTTCCCCATCAATCCCATGACGTCACCGGGCCCAATTGGCTGACCCCATCACTTTCGCCCCCACCGCAGGCAGACACCACAGCTTACTGGGCGGCAGGAAACTGGAGCACTGTGAGTTACACGCCAGACATGTCCTTTTCATGGTGTAAAATTAGTTTATGGGCAAAATACGAAAAGATCACCGTGCAATTAAAGTCGGGATGATTTTATTGTAGTTGTCACTGTTTGGCTGTGAAAATGGGTCACAGAACTCCAGCTGCTAGGCGTGTATGACATCATTTTACATTCACATACCTTTTTTTTTTTTTTACATTTTGCAAGAACTTCCGGCGATCATTTTCTAACGAGGGGGTTTTATAAATATGAGTTATAAATGCATTGTATAAGCACTCCTTCTAATGTGAAAAGCCTTCCACTTAATGAACTGTAAAATGTTTCAAATATTAAAATCAAAGAATGAACTCAGGTAGGCAGAGATACATTAATACCTGTCAGTGGAATGATGAATTGGAATCGAGGCCCTGCACAGAGAGTCAGTGTTTTGGATGTTTCCATGGAGGGTCTCCACGGTAACACAGCACCCTGAGCCCTGCTCTGCGCTGCCACCCTTCTGCTCCAGTGCTCCACCACTTGTGGTCTCGGCGCCATCTGGAGGTCCGTGTGGTGTAGCACAGGACGGAACTCCGACTGCCTCCCCTCCCTGCGTCCCGTCCCAGCCCGCCGCTGCTACATTCGGCCCTGTTCCTCCTGGAGAGTCGGCGAATGGAGCCGGGTGAGGCTCCGTATCCATGCAACCCGAGCTTTCACAACCGTCTCTTCTCAGCGTTATTTATGCTTTCTGACTGTCTGCCCCGTTATGTTGCTAGCAGAATCACTCCACCCTCTGACTCACAATTTTTTTTTTATTTTATAACAATTTTAGCCCATTACAGCATAGGTCATAATAAAAAGACGGGTTCTGTGGAAGCGGCCGTTGTGGCTGTTTCTTGGAGCTATTGAAAATGCTCTCTCCGTATTGACAGTGCTCCAGGAACTGCAGCCAGGGAGTGAGGCAGCGGGAGGTGCAGTGCACCGACACGCGCGATCGCAGGCCTCTGCGGCCCTTCCACTGCCAGGCCATCGGACCCAGGCCACATTCCCGCGAGGCCTGTAACCCCCACGACTGCATGGAGTGGTTCACCACCTCTTGGGGTCAGGTGAGCTGCAGCCACCCTAAGCATGCTCTGGCATGGTTCTGGGCGTCCTGTGGGTGTGTGATTATTGATCTCTGCCCCCCCTCCACAGTGCTCAGAGCTGTGCGGCGGGGGGGGCGAGCAGCAGCGCCTGGTCACCTGCCCGGAGCCTGGAAAATGTGACGAGGCCGTTCAGCCCAACATCATCCAAGCGTGCAACAGCCAGCCATGCGCTCAGTGGGTCACGGGCTCCTGGGGTCAGGTGAGGCGTGCCCCCCCCCCCCCCCCCATGCATGGTGGGGCCAGAGCTCAGTCCTCTTATAAGGCCATGCAGTGTCTTGTGTCTTCAGACTTAGTGGGTTTACTGCCCCGAATGACTGCAGCGTGGGTGGTAGGTGAGGGAGGGGTATTAGGGTGGCACTGTCTCAACATGCCACTCGGACTTATAATACCAGCATACTCTAAGTGGGTCTCATCTCAGCATGGCCTCCAGAATAAAGAGCAGGGCTGGTCTGTGTAAGCAGCTTTTCCAGATTTGTGTGTCTGTGTGTCTGTGTGTCTGTGTGTGTGTGTGTGTGTGTGTCTGTGTGTGTGGTGGGGGGAGAGGGGGACCTGCATACCTTAACTCCAGCTTTGCCCCGGCAGTGTTCAGCACCTTGCGGGGGTGGGGTGCAGCGGCGTCTTGTCAAGTGTGTCGACATCCGGAAGGAACAGCGGCAGGGCAGTGTGGAGGAGGAGGAAGAGGAAGAGCCCCCACAATGCGAGCACTCGGCCTGGCCAGAGGACACCCAGAAATGCAACGTTGAGGAGTGCAGTGCCATGCAGCGTGAGTACAGCCCCCTGGATCTTTAACACACTTACTTGTGCTGAATTCACGATCCGTGTAAGTGCAGCAGCGGATGAACCTGTCTCAGAAGGTTCTGGAATACCTACTCTTTGTTTATACCCAAATCGTGCTCTCCATTGGGAAACTCCCCCATAAGTTAGACTTGGGGGGGGGGGTTTCTTCTGTCTAAAACTGAAGCAAAAATAGAAACATCTTGTTTGTGTCAGCAGAGCAACTGCTTTCTCCCTGTGAAAGAGTTTCCTCCCTCTCTGTCTGAAATGTGCGTATTTTCCCAGATCTAAATGGGGCACAATTACAGGATATGAAACAGAACATATGTTTGTGAAAATTAAACTCTGTTTGCCTGAAATGTATTTAATGCATACAGAGCTGTTAAACTAAAATTCAGCTTGCAAACCAAATAAAAACACTATATGCATCAGGTAATTATGATTTTGCATTCTGTGAATGCTGTTTATTAAACCAGACTTTCTTCCTGCTTTCATGCTGTATATTTTCATTAAACTGTATTTTCAATGCAGTTTATTTAGGAAATAGGGTTTTTTCACGACATATATATGTATAAAATCTTTATTCCCCATTGAAGTGTCCATATAATAAACACTGTTAAAGTAAGAAAGTAGCAGACTTCCTACCTGTGTTCATAGTGTAACGCAGGGCCAGGTCCCCAAGGACCGAATGGAGGTTGAGGTGAATTGAGCCTCATCCTCCGCTGCAGTGAGGAGGTACCTGGACGGCTCCCTGAACTCTTTGTGTGCCAAAACCTCCTGCTCTAAAAGCAATCCCAGCTTTTTCTGCTAGAAGGTTGCGGTTACATGTTTAGTGTTGGAAGCAGATGCTGCTTTATTCATCATTAGAATTTACATCTTGGAGTCTAAGTTAATAAACTAACATATATTCTCCTAATTCTTGCAGTGTACAAATAAACCATCTGAGTTACCCCAGTGGTTAAAGCTTCCCTTGACATAATTCAGAAGAACAACAAAAAGCTAATTTAATTTTTAATGATGTTTTCTTGTTGCCGAAGCTTCCTTTCATGATGTGTACATGATGTATTTTCAAACTCCTTGCTGATGATAAGGCTTGAAGGTCAGAGTTCACGTTTGTGCAGCTAACACAATATGACCTGGTGACATGCTCTCACCTGACCTTTATGACCCTATAGCCTTCCTGCTTCCCACGCCATTCACCCCCTCCCCCAAGCCCTCTCCAATAGTTCATTCACATTCTCTTTGATGCATACTCATATATGATCAAGGACCCCTCTTTCTCAGGAGCAAATAATTACCTACTGCTTTGAAATTTCCCAAGTTGACTATCAGTAGATAATTCAGAGAAAAGTGCGAAATACTTAAATTCTGGTTTAGGACGTGCTATGTATTTCACAGAAACCAGTCTGTGGCACAGGATTTTGTAAATAGCTTTTTTCTAATGCATTTTTTTTTAAATACACACATTTCTTGGGATTTGAATATTGGCTTTTTGCAAAGATAATTAAGAGCATTTGTGGAAATAAGTTTCTTGAAATAGATTCAATGGGAATAGCTTGGTCTCTTTATTGGAGGGTGTCATTTTTGGCCCATTTGCCATTTTTATCACTTTCTCAGCTATTATCTGGCTGGGATTTGCTGCTGTAACCTGGTTTTTATATGACCTGTGATCTCTGGCCTCCCAGGAGCCCTCACCTTCCCTTTTGTATTCCAGCATTCTAGGCCTTTCTCTGTCAGTCCCAGAGAGCGGAGTCCCAGTTTAGACGCCCTCTTGTCAAATAGATTGTTTGCTGTTAATGTGTATTTGTTGTCGATTCATATTTGATATACCCGTGCATGAAACAATACAGTTTACTGTTGTAAGATCCTGAACGACGGAATGTGTCTGAGCAAGGTCCTCATTGTTTTCACACTGAACATGGATGAGTTCATTGAAGCTGTGTGATTGTTAGATAACTCCACCCAACTAACTTCCTGGGAGTCAGAGCAAAGGACGAGCGGCCTTGTGGATCTGCTGAGACGGGAGCCTTTTAGGAAGCTGGTGCTCCCTCCTGTGCTCATTGGAAAGCCGTCCGTCAGACCGTCCTTGCGATGGTTAGCGTGCCGTGGAAGTGCCCGCTGACACTCGCATGCTGGAGTGCATCAGATTAGCATTTGGAGCTGGTTTCTGTTGAATGACATGTGTCCTGGAATTACTTCAGTAGGCAGATGCTTATTTATAAGGGAGTCACAAAACAATGCACTCATTTATCCATTCCAGATTAGATGTGTTTGATTGGAATGGTTGAAGGGGACGAAGAAAATGTATACCATTCTAACACTATTTCCCACAAAGTGCAAAGCAATGCTATGTTAATGGACATTAGAGGTTGCATGCATCTTGGTTTGCATGATAGTTAAAACAATTATTTCAAAAGATTAAGAGCTATTGTGAAATACTCTTTTCCCAGGAAAACTCGTTTTCAAAGTGGTTTGTAAATTGTGCGTTATAGAGACATTAAGTTGTGGAGACTTCGCTGCCCTCCTCCTGACCCAGAAGATCTGAATGCGTTTCACACTGACCCTTTCAGTGCAGTGCCCCGGTCTGGAGAGTGGTCCAAGAATCATTTTCTTCTGAGGGGTGGGAGGGGGAATTTCATGTCAAAGTCCATGTAAAAAGCCTAGAACAGCTTCTTTGTTCCAGTGTAATTTGACTGAGGCCCAACATTCTGCGTTTGGGTTAATATCTTCTTCTGCATCTCGGGCTCTTGGAAATGGCTCCTTGATATAGCTGACCTACTTTGAAAGCTCGTGGTTTGACTGTTTGTGGAAAGGCACTGCGAGGCCACTTTGTGTTGCTGGTGTTTCACTGCGATGCTTTGTGCATATAAGCCTGGCTTGGCTTTAATTTTTATGTTGTAAGGCACCGGATCAGGAATTCCTCTGCATCTGACATTGACTACACTGGTATACAGTGATTTTGGTGCCAATGATGTCTGAACGGTTTTATATTAAGTTTATGGTGCTGATTAAGAATATGACTTCAGTTTTGCAAGATTGGCTCTAGTTTATGAGATATTTAATACTTATTCAATTAATTAACGCAACACGTTTGAAAAGCATTCAGAATTGCAAGAATATTTTTATTTTAGTTACAACTAGTAAGTAAACAGTCTAACTTCATGCAAAAAGGAAATTCAAAATATCTAACAGTGACAGGAAAAAGTTACATATGATTTGACTAAATAATACAATATTGATTAACTATTGATTGTTATTCATGTCAGTGCTTCAAAAAAAAGTACTGTGGCTGGTTGAAAAAGATGACTAATGTCTATGAAGTGCGATGCGACCTTTGTAAAAAAAGTCATCAAACTGGCAACAATGGGCTCTAAAGCCATCGACTCACATATCAGGGAAGAGAAGCACAAACGTTTTGTCGAAAGTGAAAAACCCAGGGACAATTTCTTTTGACTGCATTTGTGAAGCCTGAATGGATCCCCTTCTTCTGGCCCAACTACATTTTTTTCATGGCCCTATCACAAGCATTTCAACCATTTCTGGCTAAATACCAGACAGGTGTTCCCATGATGCCCTTCCTTTGGAAGGACTTGGCAGATTTGATCTGGGTAAATATTCACCACCACAGTAACAGCAGCAATAAATGAACATGCAAACACGCACACGTGAACTTTACTTTTAATTTTATTTTTAGACTCTTCATCATTGATTAAAGAGTCAAAAGCTATTGAGTTGTTATAACACACAAGTCGCATTGGGTGAATGCATTATTTTCATGGATGTCCATTATCTCAAAAACTAGAACCAATCCAGCAAAATTAATGTAATTTTTTAATTCAGTACCCTCAAAATACCCTAAATCCATTCATAAAACCTTGGCACCTGGTTTGTAGACCTGTGTTATCCTCTGCTGTACTGTATGTGTGCAGAATAGTATTTGCTGAATTTCTTTTAAATACAGTTTAGAAAAGGCAGATTTTGAAATCAATTAACTAAAATGGCATTTACATTTACGTTTTTCGCTTCATGGACGCTGTTTGTATGAGTATGTGTGAGATAATGTTCCGCCTCTGTGTGTATGAGTATGTGTGAGATGATGTTCCGCCTCTGTGTGTATGAGTATGTGTGAGATGATGTTCCGCCTCTGTGTGTATGAGACTGTGTGAGATGTCTGGCATGTAATGCTGACTGACGTCTCATGCTGAATCCTGCTGTGGAATTAATGAGCTTCAGAGGTGATGCAGAACAGCAGCTTATCTGCCTAATCCTGTTTGTTCACACAGACTCAACCGAGGAAGAGGTGTCCGGTCCGGCAGTTACAACACTTCTTACCCAGAGCTTGGCCATTCATCCCTTTGCCATGTGGGTGGCATTTTTGTACATGGCACAGATATATTCCTCAGGGATATCTAAAGTTTTATCTATCAGTTTGCTGCCCTATGTAGTTCAGTACTTCTTCAAAGGTCTTCATGGAAAGTTTAGCTGATTGCGGTGAACTCTCCGGTAGGATTTTAAACAGGCTTTTGCTTTGTTGGTTTGCAGGGGATGGCCTTTCATTTCAAACCAACGGCACATTCATTTCTATTCAGTTCTCGCCTGTTAAATGTCTGATCTTCTGTAGTTGCACCTGGAGATGGTGTTTTTTATACGCTGTTTGGTAGTTGGAGACCCCCAAACTGCTGGTCTGCATTACCGGTTTAATCCAGGCAGTTACTGTATTTGTTACTATATCTGTTAATTCTGTAAACATTTGTGAACTACTGAAGGAACAACTAATGAATAACACCAGTGAAATACTGATCTCATGTTTGTTTATCATAAATGAATCATAATGCATCTTTTCTCCCAATTAGTTACTGTATTTGTTACCACATTTGTTAATTTTGTAAATCCTTGTGAATTATGAATAACACAAGTGAAATACTGATCTCATGCTTATTCATCATTAATGAATCGTGACGCATCTTTCATCTCAGGTAGCGACTACATCTGTTCATGATTTGTACTAAAGTAGTAACTCAGTTGTTATTTTGTGATGGAGGTGGGAGGGCCTCATGGGAAAGAACGAGGCAGCAGGACGCTTGGGAAAACATCAAGAACCCTACGGTGACGTGAAGGGTTAACGTGCCCAATCCGGCACTGACCTTTAGCTCCTGAAACATGAGCATTCCTCTGCGGTTATGATGGAAAGTCACCTACGCATAGCTAGTCCTGTTTCTATCAAATATAATATGACAGAACACATTTTGTACGGGGAATTAAGACATAGGAGTGCTCCCACCTTTGACTGCTGTTAGATTTTTGTAGATTAGCAGTAATAGAGAAATGCTCCACACAGTCATACAGTGGTAGATATTATATTCACATTAATAGCCAGCAAAGGGTACAGGTCAGGTCAGCAGGGGGTTTACAGGGAGGTTACAGGGATGGATGCAGCATTGCATCATGCTGCACAGACATAATGCAGCACGCATGCAAAGGCCAGGCGTCCGTGGCTCATTTGACAGATTCTCGTGGAGGGAGCGCATGAATCTCTGCATCACTGCAAATGCGATGGGGAGAAGCCAGGAAGCCGCGTGGAAGCGCCAAGTAGTATGTGGTGGGAGCCGACGCTCAGCATGCACTGCGGTAAGCTGCAGGCCTGGATCAGTGTCTGCATATTGTGTCACTGTCCTGGGCCCATAACATTTGCATTGAAATAGACGGCATTGCTGGCATAGTGAACTAAATGCTAAGAATACACACAGAGGCGCCATTGTACCCATGCGGACTCTTGTGATGCCAGGCTTTTCCATCAGGAAGTATCACGGGGGCAGGAGGCATTCACAAGCCGTGCAAGACAGCCCTTTCGCAGGCACGGCAGGCGAATGCCATGTGGCGTTGGTCATGACTTTCCCTCCGCTGCCCTGTCACACATTTTCCATATGAATATACAGTAGGAAGTGGTTATCATGGAGAGGGACAGGCTGCTATTTTATGAGAAAGTGAAGACAATACGTGTCTTATCCGGCGGCCGTCGTGCTGCTGCTCCAAAGGGCCACAAAGGCAGGCATTAAGAAGTAGCCGAGCATCTCTCTCGTTTTGCCTGTAGCGATATGGCACCTTCAACAGCTAATTGGTTCCACAAAGTGTCTTTAATCCTTTCTGGGTCTGTTGTAGTTGATAGCGGGATTATTTATTTCCATGTTGTTTTTCTCATTCCTTATCCCCTCTTTCGATTCGTCTTCTCTCTGCAGGTATGAGGCACATAATGATTTCTGATGTTCTGCACAGTCCCGGACTCCCCCGCCTTTACAGCAGCAATGGAGCTGTGAAAAATTAGCCCGCGGGTGAATGGCGAGGCTGCTTGAACTGTTAGGAGATGACAGGACTCTGGGGGCCTCTAGTGGCTGCAGTCAGTGGGGGGAAGCTCGCAGTTACGAGCACCACCTGTCAGGTCAGATCGACTTCTCTGTAACCGGTTTTTCACTTGTGAAGCTGGGTTGCTTGTAGGCTAGATTATATTTTGCTTCAAAGTCTTGTGTTAATGTTGAGCTTTTTTTGTGGTTCTCCAGTGTTCTATTGCACAACTTTCTGTAGAGGAAGAAAGAAGAGGAATTCTCTAAATAGTACCTAATGATCATGTGTGAACTGGTTTTTGATGCTCAGGTAATGACCTAATGATCTGGGGCTTTTCTGACCCCCGATGATCCACTCTCTTCCGCTACAGCAGGCTTTGATCTCGTCTGCTGTGATGACATGTGAGAACACTGCTATGTTCTCAAGACCTTTGGCCTTGGAATATATGCTTTGTATACAAGCATTGTGGTGGAATAGTTGATACACGTATGTCAAGCACATACAGCTTGCATCTGCGTTTGTGATCCGGTTGTCTTTGGAAAAAATAGGTGGTTTGAAACGATTTTGAGAGCAGAATCTCATCTTTATATCTTTTAATTGTTGTACCTTGTGGGAGGGGGGGGGTCTGCTGAAAATAGGGGCAAAACCACAGTGGGATTCACCCCACAGCTGTGAACTTTGACCTGTCTCGTGTCATCCGATTCTGTGATCTGCCTGTATGGGAAAAGACTGGTTGCTTTGACAGTTCTGGGAACCCGCCAGACTGGCAAAGTGAACGAATTTCATGTTTGTTTCCAGTTGACTGTCAGCCATTCACAGCAAGTCAGGCTGTGAGGCTCCAGTTCAAGTGAACTGAAAAAAGTTACTAGCAGAATGGAAATTCAGGTTTTTTTTTATCACGGAACTGGAGCTTCAGGCTTTGTTTATTATGCGACTAAACTTGTCTACCAGAGGGGAAAAGTTAGGGACAAGTCTGCAGTGACAGACGTCATATCTCCTGCAGAATGTATTTTTATTGTATCACAGGACATTTTTCTTTCATCTCAAAAATGTGTTACAACCATAGACTTGCTAGGTGAATATGGCAGCATTAACAAATAGAAGGTTTAAAGGAAATTACAGGGAATGCTTGTATTTCAAAAGCATCTTATGAGTATTCTTGTGCTGCAGTTTGAATTTAATAATATTGCATGAAGTCACAAAGCAAGTATGTTATTTATCGATGCAGCACATTTCAAAATAATTCTTGTGAAAATTATGAAGTACATTTGGATGTTCAAATGTAGTACTGAGTATACAGAAAGAGGCATAACACATTTAATTATGAAAATCAGCTGTAAGGTGTGTATAAGTAGCGTCTGTACGTCCAAAACAAACTGTGAATAAAGAGCCAGCTCTCAAAGCTGCAGGAGCTCATCATCTAAGTTTCAGAGCAGACGGTTTTATAAACGCCTCGGTTCAGCTGGCTCACTCATCCCAAGGGTCCCAGTGAGACTCCCTCATTCCACCCTCTAATCTCTGTCCTGTGCATCCGTTCTCCAGCAGAAGATCCAGGTTTTTCTTAGAGGGCTGAGTCGCAGTCCTGCGCGTCAGACCAGGATTATCACATTACCTTCCCCTTCCTGGTGTCCGTTACGGAAGCATGGGGATTTGTCTTCCATGCCGGCATTGTGGAAAACCCATCAGGCCACTGGTAAGATAATAGCGTTGGATGATGGAGAAGCAGTGTGAGAGTGAGTTAGAGCGGCCGTGCGGGATTCCGCGTGGCGTGACCTGGGCAGCTGTCAGCCATGCACTGAAGACTTCAGCCACTTCACTTCCTGTGAATTCTCCAGATGGGAAAAACTCGCCCTCCTACAGGAAGTAGTGGGTTGACAAGTCTCCCCCCCCCCCCAAATCCCTCTCCCCAGCAGGCCCATGTGTCTCGTCGCCCCGCTCTGTCCGTGATTGACGCACGGCACCTGGTGATACCCGCACAGCAGAGGGTGCAGTGCAGAATTAAAGTGCTCCCTTCCCACACCTGGAGTTCCTCCTCAGCGTGTTTGTCCTCTTCTTCAGGCTATCATATGCAAAGCCACTTTGTCCATTTCAGGTGGAAGAGAGATCAAAGGGATTTATTAATGAGTGAAGGGTTGGGGCTGATGTTTAACTTTTCTTTTGGTGACTTGAAGTGAAAATTGACAGTTGTTACGCGTTTACTTTTCAGTTGAGCCCTGGAAGATTTTATATAATTCGTTTTTTCTGCTCATTTTTATTCTCTCTAACTGTGTATTTTATTTATTTATTTTTCCTTGACTGCACGTAGATGAACATTTTTAAATTACAGAAATTTTGATTGCCACCCTCTGGCCATTAAAACATGATGACTTATAGAGACGCAGAAAGCCAGCCCTCATGCCAATTTTCCATTTGCATTTTCAAATAGAAGATGAGTTTGTGCAAAATTGGCTTATCATTGTGTAGAAATTGTTGGAGCTCTTTGTCTTGTAGCCCTTGGAGTGTTCGGGTTCGGAATGGGGGCCTGCATGAGTGTGCTGGTTTTTCCATGCTGGTTTCTCTGTGCTGGTTTCTTTGTGCTGGTTTCTCCGGGTCTCACGGCCCCTCTTGTATCTCCACGGTCACTCTTTAAACATGATCAGAATGGATTCTGTTTGGTCCCGTTCTCATGGTTTCACTGGTTGTGAAGAATGTGCCCTGGGTGCACTGGTCCATTTCTGTGCTGGACCATATGCTCTGTGAGATGGTCTCTCTCACCTTTGCCAGACAGATGTGCCACTTTAGACCTGCCCCACGGCCCATTTTCTGCCATCTCTTTGTGAGAAACCCTTTACTTTACATCAGAAATATAGTTATATTATATATAT